CGTGAAAAATGCATAACGTCAGTTGAAAAGAGATTTTTGTACGTGGGAAACTTCGGAACATTTTCTTTCACAAGTTTCAATACGTTTTTCATTTATAAAATTGATTCTTTTTCTATGTGCGGCGCATGATAATAATCTTTCGAGACAAGTTGTTGAAGTTTCCCAGATGTAAAATGTATTTTTACCTCTTTTCATGTATAGTTAATCATGAAATTGATTCATTGTTATATATTATAATTAGACTGACAAAATTCAAAGAGAACTCTCTACTATTAAATTTGAATATGTTATCGGAAAATCTTTTCTATCTAGAACTTATCCACTATTTTCAAAGTGTCTGACAGCTGACCTTGTGATAAATTACAAACTAAAGTGACACGAGTTACTACTATGACAAGGACTCATTTATTATCTCATATAATCCGCTTAATGATTTCTTTGGGAAACGTTGATGTAAAAACTGAAGATTATTTCTAAACGCAATCTCAAGTACAGCTAAATTACAAATGAGCTCATACTGTAGATCTAACATTGATTTTTCCGTACGTCGAAACCAGTACGTCAAAATTTTGTACGTCTTATTCTTTTACATCTTAATCAGTACGTCTTATTCTTTTACATCTTAATCAGTACGTCTTATTCTTTTACATCTTAATCAGTACGTCTTATTCTTTTACATCTTAATCAGTACGTCTTATTCTTTTACATCTTAATCAGAACGTCTTAATCAATCAGTACGTCTTATTCTTGTACGTCGAAATTAATACGTCCAAATCGACTAAGATAACCTACATTCATACGCTGCATACAATAGTGTATGTAGTATATCCTTTCTTATTTACACCCATCATATTGCATTCCATGCTATACCTAATACTTTCCATTAATAATTTTGCTTTGACCCCAGACACACCGAAAAAGTGAATTAACGTTAAAGTTGAATTAAGCAGTGTGATTGGCGCATTCCGATTTAAGTCATCTTTTTGAGACGATTTAAATTTTAATGCATCAATCACGTTGCTTAATTCAACTTTAACTTAATTCACTTTTTCGGTGTGTCTGGGGTCTTCGACGACTACATCGTGTTGATGTAATATTCGTGCAATTGTACCATATGAGGTGAACCTAACACAGGTGTCTGAATTTTATATTGTGAGACGCAATTTTCACAAAAAATGTTAAAATCAACAATCCATATAAATAATTGTAGTTATATTGATGCTATACAAGAATGATATCTGCGTTTAAACTAAAATTGATCATTCTGTATTTTTTTCTGGGTGCTAATGATACTTTTGACTTGAGGTGAAAGGTATAGCATATCTTTCATTTGACTTTTTAATCATCAACTGTTCAAAAATATAATTTAGCACACAAAAATTCTAACGAAACAAATAGTAAATTAAAAATAAACATTATTTGATAATCACGAATCGGCAAAAAGCAATTTTGGATAATTTGATCATTTATTTCAAATAAACCAAATAAACTCAGTTTGTTTTAACAATGTATGTTGTTATACTTCTCTCTGCTTTTGCTTTAGCATAACGGATACTAAAAATATCATTAAGTTCATAAAAGTTCAATAGATATTTTGAATCGTTGGAACTATACCTTATTGGATATCAAGTTTTCTTTTAGATATCATTTCTTGAAAAATTGGTGATGTTGTGTGACATGATGGCCAAGATGGAATATTACGATTATGTACATTGTATGTTATCGTTTTTGTTATATTAATGTAAATGAGATGAGTTAAAGAAGAAATTAAAGAAGATAAGTATTAAATAAATAAAAATAAATAAATATATGCATGCGTGAATATGTGAAAATAAAGACAAGCACTTTGAATGACATTTCTGACTAATACGAGTAGTGCCGACCTCGATCTTAAGGCAGAGCATCTACCACAATATTAATCAGAATATGCCAAGAGTGTGTTCATTACAGAAGATGTAGGGAAAGATAAATGCAGTGCGAGGAGTGTCGACCTTAATTAAGGTGGAGCATTTCCCACAACACTAATGATAATTTTTTATTTTTCACTTTTTATTTTTAGGGAACAGGCAATATAAAAGAACTGGATATTAATATTATTCAATAGATTAATGTATAACTGTTCTATAATTCCATGTGTTACTTATATGAAAGACAGTGACTGATGGTTATAAAAAATAAGTGAGTATGATTATAGTGAATATGTATGAAGTAAGGATTGTTAATATTACTGTTATTACGAATTATAGTTGTTGTTTTAACTGGTTATTTGTATATTATGTTTTGTTTCATTCATAAACTTCCCAAATGTTCTACTCGTTAAAATACTCTCTTTAATTACACATTTTCTCCAGTCGCTTTCAAATGCTAATATTTGAGTGTTGAAAAAATCAATCTCATGTTTATATTTTAAAATATACTCAACGAGTTTAGAGTCTGATGATAGTTTTTGTATATTAGCTTGATGTTCTTTCATTCGACTCGTTTCTCCAATATATACTTTATCATAATTCATACATGGAATTGAATATACTAAGTTCTTTTTCTTTTTTTCTTCATCAGTCCCTTTAAGTTTTGGTAAGAAAATACTTTTTAAGCTCATGTGCTTTTTGAAGGCGAACTGAATTGTTAAATTCGGAAGTAATTTATGACAGAATTTCTTCACACGAGAAGCAAATGTAATGGATTCTTGTCCATAATATTTTGTAGTGAAGAAAGTGACTTTTTTCCTATTATTTGCATCTTTCTTCGTATGAGACATCGTTTTTATAAGTATCTCTCCTTCAGATATACCTGTTTTTATTATATGTGGTGGGTATCCATTGTTCGCTAGTGTTGTTCTTAATAGATGTAATTCTTGAGTTACGATTTCCTTACTTGAACAAATTCAGTAGATACGTATTACTAGTGTTTTAATAAGACCTAATTTATAGCGACGATTTTGATTACTACCCCATAACATATACAATCCTGTATGTGTTGGTTTACGATACAGTGATGTAGTCAGTTTATCTTGTTCTTGAGTAACTAGAACATCAAGAAATGCGATAGAATTATCAGATTCCAACTTAAGGGTGAAATGTAAGTTTTGTGCCATTTATTTATACGTGTGTGGGATTCGAAAATTTTTTCTTTAGAAATGATGAATACTCAAAAGATATCATCAACGTATCTTAACTAGGGGTGGCACTTTATCTTTACTTTACCGGGTAAAGTAAAGTAGCGAACTTTACTTTAACCGGTAAAGTAAAGTAAGTCAACTTTACCCGAAAAGTAAAGTAAAGTAAAGTAAAGTAAAGTGAATTAAATAAAGTTGAGTTTGTTGCCCATTTTTTAGCCCAGTATCATGCACTAATAACGCTGCAGCATATGAAAGTATTTTTGGAACGATTTATTCATAAAAAAAGTGGAAAATAAAGTACAGTAATGATGAAAAGGTCACATTTTTCATAGATGAACACTTTTGTATGCTGCAGCGTTATCAGAGCTTGATGCTGGCCTAGAAAATGAACAATAAGCCTAACTTAATACAAGTCACTTTACTTTACTTTTCGGGTAAAGTTGACTTACTTTACTTTACTTTTTCAAAGTTAAGTAAAGATAAAGTGCCACCCCTAATCTTAACCAAATCATCGGTTTGCTGGTAGTATATCTATTCAATTTTTCTTCGATTTTTTGTATCCATAAATCCGCGATTATTGGTGCTAATGGGTTACCCATAGCGACTCCATCTATTTGTTTATAAATTTTATTTTGAAATCTGAATGGTGCGTCTCTTATTGATAGATTAAGAGGTATTCTGATTTGTTCTTTATCAAAAGGAGCATCTATTCATTTTTTAGGCTTATAGATATAATTGAGGGTGTGGGTGTGGGTGTAGCTTTCATTATGTAGCGGATATTTATTCACACCCACACCCAGAACGACTATACATTAATTTATTGAATAATATTAATATCCAGTTCTTTTATATTGCCTGTTCCCTAAAAATAAAAAGTGAAAAATAAAAAATTATCATTAGTGTTGTGGGAAATGCTCCACCTTAATTAAGGTCGACACTCCTCGCACTGCATTTATCTTTCCCTACATCTTCTGTAATGAACACACTCTTGGCATATTCTGATTAATATTGTGGTAGATGCTCTGCCTTAAGATCGAGGTCGGCACTACTCGTATTAGTCAGAAATGTCATTCAAAGTGCTTGTCTTTATTTTCACATATTCACGCATGCATATATTTATTTATTTTTATTTATTTAATACTTATCTTCTTTAATTTCTTCTTTAACTCATCTCATTTACATTAATATAACAAAAACGATAACATACAATGTACATAATCGTAATATTCCATCTTGGCCATCATGTCACACAACATCACCAATTTTAATTCGATAGCATTATGCAACATCACCTATCCTATTTCTCGACATCTCTTATAACGTCATTCCTGACGATGTGTTTCAGACAAGAACACGAAAGCTTGAATCTCTCTATTTTTAATTCTGTTTGAAATAAATATTTAATAAAATGTTATTTACAGCAGTTATCTCTTTCTTTTCTTATTTATTTCCTACTGCTTTATCTTCTGGATTTATGGGCAAGGAATTTATAGAAAAACTGAATGAATGAAATTCGAGCTGAAATTTTTCCCAACAATAGGCCTCATCGATGTTAGACGGTTACAAAAGTTTCAGTGAAAACGGATGCGCCGTTCTCGAGATGTTACAGTTTGAATAAAAGTCAATTTTAAGATAAATTTTGAAAAATCGCCGTTTTCATCAATATGTAATATCTTGAGAACGGCGCATCCGTTCTCACTGAAACGTTTGTAACCGTCTAACATCGATGAGGCCTATTGTTGGGCAAAGTTTCAGCTCGAATTTCCTTCATTCAGTTTTTCTATAAATTCCTTGCCCATGGTCGAAAATTCACTAAAACGGTCATAACTTTGAAAGAAAGGCCTAATGGCACGAAACCTTTTAGGATTTTTCTAGTCTCATCATGGGTCCTACTTATGAGCACAATATGAACCAAAATGGTGCGTAACACTTGGGAATGTTCCCTCGTCAGTTGTATTGAATATTTAACAATTAAGATTTGACAGCTCTAACCCTAGTCAAACTTGTTTTTTGCAAGCGCATGCAATTCTTGACTTTCTTGCTCAAGAAAGTCAAGAACTATGGACACATCTTGAGGCAAGATATGAGGTCTTTCTTCAACCCAATGCGCGTGTCATTTATATTCATGTACTTGAATTTTTATTCAGGTATTTTTGTTTCTTGCTCAAGCGCATGAATTACGCTTGTGCAACAGAAATATATAATTTTTCTCCATATATTAGCCATTCACTTGATTAGTTGTCACTGACCGTCAACTTCTTAACGTTGACAATGCATAAGTAAACACCAATGAAAAGATGAATTCTATTATTTGTTTTCTTAAAACAAACGTTGTATTTACGACGGACTGGTCAAAAACAATAGAAAGAATTTATTCGCATTATTAGACGAGAAACAAAGTTGTTTGGTCAAAAAGAAATCTCAAAATGCACAATGTAAACTTCCGCAGCGCTTGAAANTTGATGACACTTATGCAAGTACGTATTGAAGATTTTATTAATCAAATGAATGAAGAAGATAAAAACAAAACAACTCCACTTTATATCGGATGTCCAATATCTGTTTATGAAGCTTATATGCGTCTTATTCGTTTAGGACATTCACTCAATCTAGAAAAAAAAGGAATACAAAGGCTTCTAACAGAAATTCGAGTTTTTCCCCTCCTGATTGTGTTTTACCGAAAACGACTTTTACGTTGTTCAAAATGACTGATAATGAATATCGTCCACAGATTTTTATTGAAGAAAAACATTATTTTTCTTAATTTAAATCTGATATTTTGATAAGTATCTGTTGGCTTCGTAGAATGTGGTGAAGTTTTATTAAAATCAAATGATCCTAAATGTTCAATCAGTTGTGATTCTAATGGAAAATATAGGTCATATAATAGTAAAGTTACTGAACTGGCTATTATGAATGTGGAACGTGAAATCAAGCGAGTAGCTGAACGTCACATTGATCTCATCAACGAATGTCTAAAACAAACTCTATATACTTTCCCCGCTGATTATATTAGTAGTATGGTGACGAATCTTGGAATTATATCATACCTCGTTGCTTATTTTAGGTAATATTTATCGTCAATTGCCAACTAATGAAAACCAGCGCAATATCACGATCATTTTACACAGCGATGGTGCACCTGCTATTAGTGTGAACAGTAAATAATCATTATTCGCTGTCTCTATGACCATTTTTCTCTTTCGTTTAGATAAGTTTTTATGGCCTGTTCAAGAAATCATTGCAGAAATAACAATTCCGATGAGAGATGAAATCTGCTGTTTTGCTTCTTGGTGCTTGGTTGGCGGAAAAAAGCCACCTCGTAATCCTTTACTAATATCGATTATCACCCAACTGGAAGTTCTCATGCGATCACCAATTGTGTTGAAACAGAAAGATGGTAATGGTTTTTTTTACTTTAACACGATCTACAAAATTCTATATTAGGTTCTCGCTTGTCGTATAATGTTCGTATACAACAAGCAATTTTTGATTTGCCTGCCCGTGGATGCTCTTTGAATATTGTTCAATATAATGGTTATTATAGATGCAGCAAGAATATTACTTTATTTATAAATAAATATTTACATATAAGATGTAAACATTAGAATACTGTGTGAAGCGGTTTTTCAAATCGACTTCTGAATAGTGAGACGCCACTTATAATCCAGTTGTGTAGAAATTTTTGTGTAGAATTAAGCTGTATTTTTGAATAGGTGGCAAAAGGGGAAGCGTTTTTTATATCGTTTCTGATCGAAACGATAAGCCGGATGGACTCTAGTATCTAATAGAAAAACTAAAAATTAAATTAGTCAAATTGAAGAAAAACTGACGTGAGAAGTAATTTAAAAAAACTGGCCTTCTTTTTGATTAAAATAAGAATGTAAAATAAAAAACCTTTAGATTGATAGATGGACCAATTTTTTTGAATACAAAATAAAATATTCATACAATGCATACGTCAAAAGCTCTTGGAACAGTATTAGGTATAATTTAAAAAAACATATTTATAGCAGACATTGGATACTCAATACAATACTTAGTACTTTTACGTACTAAGTACGTAAAATAATAAGTACCAGTAATTCTTTTGTAGTACCAGTACATGCACTTGCACTGCAAAGTGTACTTTGTATTTGTACTCAGTACGGGTACTAAGTATACAATGTGCTCAGTACAGTGATGGCGCTCGTAAAGCAATCCTTTTAGGTATCCTTATTTTCTATGTTTTCTTCTTTGCATTGGGTTTTAAGTGTTTTCTATCTATTACATGTACTTTAGTGATTACAAAACGGCTTTAAAATCGAAAATAACAGATGAATTGACGCTTTTTTCAAATATTTTTTAACAGTGACAAATAATATATAAATTCTACGAATTAAATATTTGTAACCCCACCTCTATCCCCATAATAGAGGCCCCTGGGGGCTTCTAAACTGGCAATCGTTCAAATTTTTTTAAGGGAGCTTTTATTATGGAAGGGCTACTAATGCGACGTTCATACAGAAGTTTAAAAAATCAGAAAATGAAAGAATCAGAAAAAAGCAATGATTCGATCTAACATAAGGGATAAAAGTTTTAATATCTGTTATTCAAAATAACAATTTAGGCAGAAACAACTTGAAACAGATTGTTTTGATTTCTATAATTTGTTAAAATTTTGATTCTTTTAATCTCTTTTATTGTTTTTTTCTATTTTTAAGTTTATTTAATTTTTAAGTTTTTTAAACTTTTAATCTTTTCTGTGATTTTTCTTATTTTCTTGATTTTAAATCAAGAAAATAAGAAAAATGGCAGAAACAAGAAAAGTCTGATTTCAGCTGTTTGTCCCTTGTAAAAGAGTCATTATTTTAATGATCTTGACTATTTATTTGAGATAAGTTCAAATAATTATACAAAAATCTGTCAAATTTTATATAGAGACAAAAAAAACATATTACTGCATTATTAGAAGCCCAGGGCTTCTAATTCATTTTCACATCGATCTGTCCCTGGGGGGCTTCTAATATGGGAGAGGCTTCTATTACGAGGCGAGGGGTCATCAGATTCCATGAAAAAAAAGTTAAAAATGAGATTAATATCGATTCAAACACCATTATTTTGATTTTATTCAAATCTGAGTTTTAGTCTTATATTTTTGATTTTTGATTTTTGTCTCATTAGATGATTGTTTTCTAATTTGTCGTTTTGAATGAATACTATTGATGGATCAAACTTGATGAGATTTCAGTAATTGATTAGATGAATTCCAAAAACTTGTTAGCACAGCTCCTTTGAAGCTAAAATATGGAACTTACCTCTAATTATTCGCCTAATTCTACTAATACACAATGCGTAAAGTGTGAAATGTGCTGCAAGAGAATCGATCGGTAGAAAAAAAAGTCTTATTTAGTGTTTACATCCTTGGTAATATCTGTAATGGGAGGGGGAGCCACAAAAATTTTACTTTTAAACTTACACCCACCATTTTCTTCGAAAATATATGTGAGTTCCAAAAAAAATGATCAAATGAGAGAAAATATAAAATTTAAAACGAAAAAAACAGATTTCTATCAGATAGAAATAGTGTCATTTCAATTGATTCCAGTCTTATAGAGCTATAAATTATATCCATTTTAATATCAGTGGATATGAAAATATGGTAAAATGCATTCCAGCTTCCATTCTTGTTCACACTACGGATATCATTAGCCGACGAAACCAATGAATGCTTAGAAAATTATTAATGAAAGCCTAATGTGAATTTGTACTCAAGTACAAGTACTAACCCAGGTCAAAAAATCAGACACAGATCATGTAAGATCAGATGAAATCATACGAAAAATCATAAAGTCAGATCATTGTGTCAATTCGTATTGTAAGATTTCTTTAAGATCCTATAATATCATTTTTGTAAGATCTTACAGAAATCTTACAATACGAATAGACACAATGATCTGACTTTATGATTTTTCGTATGATTTCATCTGATCTTACAAGATCATATAAGATCAGAGGTACGATCGTTGAGGATCTTACTGTCTGATTGTTTGACCTGGATAAGTACAAAAGGACTTCAGTACAAAGTACATAAGTACAGTACAAAGTATAATTTTGAAGTACACAGTATTTTTACCTGTACTTCATATACTAGTACTCTTCCAATCACTGATTTATAGTGTAAAATTCATTTCATTAGTAGAAGCATTAATTTAATTAGCTATGAATGACAACACTAAAAATGTTAATATTATTATAAAATAACAAACTCGATCACAATTTTACAGTGAAAATAGAAAGAATAATAATTTGCATAACTTATTGCAACTGCAACTAATCGGTACGTCTATTTTCATTCGAGCGGTGTCATTTTCGTATCGCCGTAAACATAAAAGCAAATGTACATACAGCTAATCGTTTTAGGAATGTGGAGAAATGGCAGCATAAAATGCACGCCGATAAACAAAATGGTAATACTAGCACTTTGTGACAAAATAACAATATTATATTTCGCAGTATGCTTTGAAAGCAACATTAATGAATTTGGTTATAGTTCATACATATATAAATAATCTAGTTTATATCAAAAATAGATGATGTGATCTATTTTTTAAATGAGTACTAATTTTAATTTATATTGTAATGTGATGCCAAATACATCGGATATGGTTTTTCTTATAAAATACTAATCATTATTTCTCATGTGATTCGTTGAGTAAAAGAAGGGTTATTTGGTATATTTATTGTTTACTTTCATGTTGAGAAACACATAGGAAACTATGAAATCCCTCGACCATTATGTGAGCTAATAAAATGCAGCTTTTTGTACTATGGCAATAAATCAAATTTGATTATTTTGTTTCGAAAATTTCTTTTCAGGAGCGTTATTTGAGATGAGCACAATGATGAATAGATAGATACTCCAGATTTATTTCTTCTACTAAAGTCTTTGTTTTGCTAGTCTAAGATACATTAGTTCGGTCTTGATAAGATTTTGATAATTAGTAGATTTTATTTCAAGAGAAATGAAGGAAAACAAAAATGGATTCTATGCCAAAGATAAAAAAAAGGAGCCAGAATGTTTCTGAAATTCTAATAATATTGACGAGCAAGGCTATTATTATAATTATCGTCGCTAATAGTCGAAGTAGGTTGCAAGTCATGGCATATCAGAATAGGGAAAATAATGTCATTTATTTAATTTACTGGCTTATGAATCTATTTTAAATGATGAAGTTTTATGAGAAAGACCTGAGGTTAGCACAAGGCCGCTGTCATTGGTCTTGTGAAATTTATAGATTAGAAAAGAAGATTGAAGTTCCAATACAAGAGAGAGAGAGAGAAAGAAAGAAAGAAAGAAAGAAAGAAAATAACTACTTAGTATATAAGTAAATTATTTCTATAGTCTCTGAAGAGTGGAGTCGAATGGAAGAAAATAGCTTCAGTCGTCGCACGCATCTATTTTAAATACTTTAAACAACATCATGCAACAGTCATGCGGTGCAATTTGTTTACCTGCGTTCTTTTCTATTTGATAAAATCTCTTCTAGAAACGCATTTTAAGATTTATACATAAGGGTGACTCTCCTTTCTTTTTTGTAAAAGTACGTTTCGTTGACGACTAAAATCAATCATAAATTTCTTGATTATTTTTGTTGTTTTAATGTCTTCGTTCGTCGTACCCAACGATGGAATTGTAAAGTTCTTTTTCGCACTAAGTTCGAATAATTAAATATTGAAAAAAGTGCTTTTTTTCTCGCAGATTTATTTCACTTGTTTTTTTCTTCTTCTCAATTGATTATTATTTTTATGTAAGACAATGATGAATCAAGAAGATGAAGAAAGAAGCGCGTCTAATCAACAGTTTAGTCAAACAATGTAAGAACTTTATTTTTATTAACTAATTTACCCAAACGAATACAATTAGGTAATAATTAGTTCCAAGAAACGAACTAAAAATAGTTGCACTGGTAATCGAAGAAAGTGACCTATATGCTTTTATCGTTTTCTGCTGGCTCGTACTATCTGGCCTTTACGCTATATGGAAAAAGAAACGAAAGATCTACTTCTCTTGTTTTCTGATTAAAACAGAGCTATTAATAGAGAAACGGGCGAATGAGATATTTTGTTATTTCTTCTTACTTTCTTTTGCAAAAACTCCTTCATTTATCTAGTGTAGAACAAGAAATGTAGATTTTTCCTCGAAGGAAAACGCTTAAATATTTAAATATAGATGAGAACAAGAAAGAAGTTATTAAAAAAGAGAATCAAAAAGTGCTACTAGTTATATGAACCCGAGGTAGAATAATGAAAAAAGGCGGAGAATAATCATAATATATATATGCGTTCTTGACTAACGACTGTAATAGAGCTTCGGACGAAAGTTCATCATCTAGACTTATTTTAGTTTCTAGGTTTTTTCATTTCTTTTATCTCAACAACAGTTTTTCATCGTCTCTGTGATAGTAATCATAAAATCAGGTTTGCAAAACAAAATATCCATTCTAATGATAAAGAGTGACAAGTTTTACTTGATCTTCTTACGAGTTTTCCAGAATAACAAAAAAATATTTTTCGCACATCTATTTGCATATGACGACTAATTTACAATGGTAAGCTAAAATAAATATTTAAAAACTCAGAATAAATTATTGATAATATTCATATTAAAATTCTACTCCATTAAACTAGTTTTCCATGTCAGCACGTGTGATAGAAAGAACTTCTTTATTATTAGCAGGTCAACTAGAAAATATATATTTCCTGATTTAAAAAAAGATTTCCATGTATTCTTTGCTAATGTAATTCCAGTTGACATAATAATAGAATCTAAAAATGACGAGGGATGATAGCATGCTTTTGTTTTGATACGGCCGAAACTTGAAAGTTCAAAATTTATTTACTTATTTCTAAATGGAATGAGAAAAAAAAAGTTGAAATTTTTTTCATTCTTTTAAAACCAAATACTCAACTTGTTTATTTTTTATTTTTTGTTTTTGATGAACTTGAGAAATGAAAAAAAATTGGCTTTTTAATTGTTGTACTTCAGATTAAACCAAACCTCTGATAGAACAATGAAACGTATGGCAATGCCGCTACCATCGTCAGCATCATCGAATCATCTAAGTAGCCATTCTATGATGCCAGATCTTCTATGGATAAGTAAACAACAGCAGCAACATCCATCAACTCTTGCGCATCCATTACGCAATACTATACGTGTAAGTTCGAATGGTATACGTCATAAATTTGATGGTAAACAATGGCGACCATTATGCGAATCACCTGACGGATTTGAATGTCGAAACTTAGTGTTTCGTTCAGCATTGTGTCAAAAGCATTTTTATAAATTACATCAATTTAAACGACCTTGCGGGAAAAGTGGATCAATATCATCATCATTACCCAGTATGGTACCCCATTCATTGAAACGATCATTACCAAGCTCATTTGAAAAACAGCAACATCATCATCATCATCATCATTCTAAGAACGACCATCATGATATTGAAAATGAACATGAAAATATTTATAAAGATGATGATTCAATTGAAGTTCTTGAAAATAATGATGTAAGAAAAAAGAGTTTATTGAAAAAATTAATTGAACTAATATTTATATTTCTTCAGCCGATGACAACAAAACCAGAACGTAGTGAATTAAAAAATCACTCACAACCTGAACATCATTATTTTTCGATTGCTTGTGATCCACAATTGGCCTCCGATACTAATGATATAACTCATGTTAAACCCGAACCAGTAAGATTTAGTTTTCATTCATGCACCATATAAAAAAGCTATCTTTTTGTTACGTTTTAGTTACCACAATGTAAACTATTAAATGCAATCAATAATAATTCTGTTCTACCGAATGAATCAGAAAATTCATCTGTAAATATATCACTACCAAAAGTAGCTGAATCAGTACGTCTTGGTTTACCACCATTAACACGTACGGAAGAAAAATCTTTGGCTTATGAGCTTATAGCACAGTTACCAGCAGACGCAACTGTAGCCATCGCTGAGCATACGGCACGTCGTCGAGCTTGTGAAATAGTTCTTGATAATTATTCTCATCAATTATCACCAATAAATATAACACCTGAATGGTTTTATGATTTTCTTTTAAGAAATCCACGTGTACCAATACATTTTCAATCATGGTTTTCATCTGTGAAATCAAATTTTCCACCAACGGATCAATTGATTGATATTAAAATATGGGAACTTGGACTGGTTACAAGATCTATAATGTCACCGTCTTCAGTCCCAGCGAGTTCGTCTTCGCCTTGACCAAATTTCATTTTTTGTTTTGTTTATATTTTATGGTAACCGTGTCTTTTATTTCTTGTATTGGGCTAAAAGTCAAAAAACAAATATATGTATATATATATATATATATATAAATGTTAAATATAGATATATGTTTGTGAATATAATATAAAGATTTCTTTTACTACCTGATCAAAACTAGTCAAACAATTATTCATACTGGGAACAAAATCCGTGTCATAACCATTGAGAGTACCGATGAAAAACTCTTTTGTGAAAAGTATGATAAGAAATACAGAAGTTGAAATAGTATTCGATAGCAATGATTGATAGATCAAATTTAAGATTTGTACATTCACCAGAATCAATAAACTATCGAGATATATCTTATTTCTCTATAACACAACTGTCAGTGTAAAAGGAAAAGATTGAGAATATATTATGTTTATCAAGATTCTATTAGAATAGCCTGTCATAAAAGATTTAATATAACGCGTACATTGCATAAATAATTATTCTTTATTAGAAAACGTTTTCTCCCAGTGGCGATTGCATTTATCGTTATTGACGTAGATGTCATATCAATAAGTGACAGCGAAAAAAAAAGTTTGTTCACATTACTAACAGGCACACAAATAAAAATAGGATATAAAAGATTTGATCTACCAGTGCGTTACGGTTCGATTATGAGATGATATGAATAAGAATTAGTTCGGTCAGTGTGTTTTTTAATGATTTACAAGATAAATTCATTTATAAGAAACTTTTCACTACGAAATTCTTTTGTCGTTTAGAACAAAATAATAATTCTAGCTTTATTTTATGATTTTCAGTTTATTATTGAAAAAATTCTCAGAACTAAATATTACGTTGGAATAATGATCATCCCTCGATATTAATGAATTATGGAATAAATTTATCTTATCTAGGAAACACCACACCCTCGTTTCATACAACTTAGGTATTCATTTTGCTTTAGAGTAAATTTTCTTAGCAGAATCCAGAGCGTTCCATGCACCATCATGAATATCTGTTTCTACAGTTTTTACAATAGGATTTGGTTTCTTGTGCTGTTTCATTGCCAGTCAAACATTGATTTTTATGCACTATTAACTTACACCTATTCTCTAGTTTTTACCATGCATTACTCATACTATATTTCATCGTTTTGTTTATTATCTAAATATAGAAATTGTTCTTTTCCGAATCAAAATTATTCTCTGGATCAGTTTAATTTGGCAACGACATTTCCTGATGTAGTTCATTTGCATCCGTGTGTTGCAGTTGCTCGAAATGTCTCTTTGTTTAAACTCGATGAACAACATGACACACTATTTTACAGTAAAAGAAGATAACTGTTTAAAAGAATCTGTTCAATATAATGCAATTAAAAATCTATAGTGTTAATATAAACACACATGTCGAAGAATGTTTTACTCAATGCTTGCCAATTAACATTTGTTGCATAGGAAATTGTAAAATACAGTAAAAATGCTTTAAAAAAATTATTTGGTGAATTCTTTTATGCTATTTTTGAAAACATTCTATGAAGTAGTTAGCGATGTAACAACACCATTTGGAGGCATAAAGATTGCCAATTTTCACGATGAAAATCTACCAGTACCAACCAATACTTCGCGTTAGTTATAACCAGCGAAGTTAGCTCTATCTGATAGGAGTATATAAAATGCCAATACCAACAGAAAAGATTCTCAGTATTGGTGAGTATTCGTGAAAACTACCATTATTTTACCATCACTCACCAACACTGAGAATCTTTTCTGTTGGTATTGGTATTTTATATACTGCTATCCGATAGAGCTAACTTCGCTGGTTATAACCAACGCAAAGTATTGGTTGGTACTGGTAGATTTTCATTGAGAAAATTGGCAATCTTTATGTGTCTCCAAATGATATTGTTACATCTCTAGAAGTAGTTCAATTAGCGATTTCAGATTGTCAGATCACTGTGCAACAAAATGCATCTTGAATGAATGAATTTTGAACTAAAATTTTGTTCATAGAGAAGCATACGGCTGTTAGAGATTTCTTCAGTGTTTTGAGCGAGAGTAAATATAATCGTGTCACGCCATTCATATATTAGCTAAAAATTTGTTTTTGATTCGTTTCAAATGCAGAACATTTTAATTAAATAGTGACACATCGGCAATTCTCTGAGAACTTCTAATTACTATCAATACTCTATATGAACGTCGTATTAGCTCTAAATCTGTTTATTCGTATTCTCAACAACACAATATTCGTAAAGAAAAACATCAGCCAAACACTGCTAGAAATTTTATTAGTCTCGCTTAGAAAGACTTGGAATAGTTCGGAAATTTTTCTCGCAAGAGACTTACAAGTTCCTCGTTTGAGAGAGTGCATAGAAATAAACACAGTCACGTGGAACCTTAAACAAGATAGTACACAGTAGCAAGACAGCGTACCCTTGAGAGAAGTCTATTACTATGATGTATTGGCAAATAAAATACATTTCTAAATATGTACTGCTAGTAAAAACTTCAAATTTCATATGTTATATTATACAAGATCTTATATTTTTGAATGATACTTGGATGCTGCTTTCCGGTGAAATGTACTACAGAGTTGGTTTAGTTTTTCCTTCTAAATATTACTTCAATGATCCTATTTTTGAAGAGTTTCTTAAAATTAATCGCTGCATAAATTGAAAACTATTATAATCATTCAATATTTTATTTTATAGATGAACTCGAGTTCACATTTGATAGTATCATTGCTAGTCTACATCATGCATTAGTGTTCAATGGTCTATATCAGTGCTATAAATTATAATTGTATTCAATTAGCAGTACAAGATAATAATAAATATACATATAAGTGATTTTCATTAGAAGTATCATGTAGTGTATTTTTATTTTTTCGAATTCTCGTGAATGACTTTCTGATAAATTCAAAACAAAAACGAAATCTTTTTCGTTCTAATCTTAAATAATTGGCAACTTAATTAGCAATTTTCATTGCAATTTGACACATTCTACTCTGCAACCTATGACACAGCAAAAAATTATGAAAACTTAGTAGTGCTTTAAACATATTTTTTTCCGCAGTTAGATGTTCGAATTATTAAGCTAATAAATATATTCATATTTCAGCTTTATAGGTTGTCTTAGAGATCGTAAAAATTACTAATTACATAGCCTTCTGGAAATACTCGGGAGACACTCATTTACTAGATAAATGCTTCTCTCAAAATGTGTTTGTCTTTAAAAATGAACATATGAAACGGTTTACTAGAGTGCTATTAATGAGCCCAATAAAAGAAGTTGTATAAAATGAAAAGCTTTGACGAGTATAAAATTAGCTCGGTATCAGTTGGTTCAAGCCTTTTGTTTTCTACAGAATTAAAATGTAAAAAAATGCTCTAATTCAAGATATAATCATCAAGAAGATGAACAGAAAGAGTTTATTAACAAATATTCTATAATTACAACAAGTGGTTAGATTTTGGTACAACTTTAAGAATAAAAACAGCAGAGACAGCGGATAGTTACTCATGCCAGTATCGTGCTACTTTTATGTGCACTGTTGTTTTTGCTAGTCAAATTTTGACACATAATAGCATGACAAAAAATAAACGATGGGCTTCAAATAAACCAACGGAGAAAATATTGAAATAATGACATATAAACAATTAATCCATATTAGAATTGAGATTAATAAATATGATTTTAATGATATTTTTCGTCTAAAAAAGAAGAGGAAAAACTCAATGGATCGATATCAAGTTATTTACTTTCTGGGGTAAATTTTAGATATCACATAACGTATAAAAACCTAGGAGAATAGTCTGGAAAAAAATTAATTATTATCAGCGAATCGTTGCTGAATGCAATAATTCAACGATTTTGTGAGAATCACACCAAATGTTCTTTTTTAAATCAGTATCATACTTGCAACTAAATCAATATTCACTTTATCTAAACTACATAGTGAAATAACATGCACGTCTTTCTATTTTTTTTGATTGCTGCCTGTACGGCTTTTCAAATTACTTATGCTGCATCCGGTATATCTATATGAATTTTTATTTTAATAACTAATTTTCTTTGGCAATTGCTTTTACCATAGATTGCAAAGCATGTCAATTGGATGAACACTTCAGTGACGCAAATGGTTATAGTTGTTTTCATTTAAATAATGGCAAAGTTGCTTGTACTTGTCCTGATCAACGTTATACACTGGATAAACCCTGCCGTACGATTTTTAATTTATTCGGCTCATCTAATTTCTTGTAAAAAATCTCTTTAGGTATATGCGATCGTGCGAACATCTGTGGTGATAATCCAAGTAACTTATGTTCTGAAATATCAGCAACGGTCCCAGCTGCCCAAGACAATGCGAAAACAAATTTTGGTTGTTTCTGTGTTGACATGAGTTTTTATTTCGGTGAACCTTGCCCATCAAGTAATGTTTCCATCGTTTTAATTATGTCATTACGACTCTTTTTTTCAATATTTTCTAGGTCCTGTAACATCGACAACGACCACGGGATTCTCAGCTTCTACACCAATATTGACTACTACACGGTTGCCATTAGCTACAACAATATTGACTACTACACGGGTGCCATTAGCTACAACAATATTGACTACTACACGGTTGCCATTATCTACAACAGCATGAATTAATATACAATTGGTACCTTCTACAACATCGGAAACTAATAATTAAAGAAATCAAATACCTATCAAAAAAAATGAAAGGTAAAGCTTTGACATGATGTTTTTATGTTGTCAATAAAAAAGAACCTTGAGTTGAAATTCAATTCTTTCTCTCTTTTTTTTGCGTTTATATTTTTAAACGGAAGAATAATTAAATCACTTAAAGAAATGCGAATGCTATGTTTGTCGGCTTCTAAACATTTTCAATGGTCGTTTGAATGGTCGGCTGCTTTCTAACGAAAATATAGAGTAAACAGTGTGTGAATTTGTGTATTTTAATACTTAACTAACGCAGTAGAGAACGATCACAAATAAAAATCATTATGGCAGCATCACGAATAAGTAGCTTTACAAATCTGTCGCCAAGCATATACGATCGTCGTCAGGTACAAGCACGGATACGTGCTCTTCAGCAGCGAGCAAGTAAGTGTTCAAAATAATTATCACACACAAAAAGAAAATAATCAATTAATTAGGTTGTTTGTTTGAGTAAAAAAATTGTTACTAGAAAAAAAATTATTTAGCCGAGCATTTGAGCTATTCAAACAAGCGTACATATTAAACATTAACGTTTTATTTGTTCTTATTCTTTTAAATAACTCATCAATTGTTATTAAAGTCAAAGAAAACAGCCGCGAGCGAAGGTGGGATGTAAAACTTCAATTTTCTTTTATGCCTCAATAAATTATTGAATCATATTAAAATGCAAGTTATACGAAGAACAAAACTTTTTCTTGCAATGATTAGATAAACTAGGGGAAAAAAGATAACGTTGCACTGTTCAGCGATCTTATATACAGTGAAATAGCCTAATGATGAATGTGTAGATGATGAGAAAATCGTATTGATCGGAGATTTGTGTCGGTATTTTCAACCCAGGACGTCATTGAAAATAATTGTCGATTTTCAGAATCTAAAAATCTGAGGTTCGAGTTTCTCGCTTAAATAAGTTTCATTGCTCAAGATGGAATCCCGTGTTAAATAACTCAAATATTTTTTTATAATAAATTTCTTGCAATTGAAAAAATTTCAAAATCAACACACACTGATGAGCCAATGTTAAAATTAAATTCCTATGTGAAGTCTAGAATTTTGATTTTTTTCCATACAAATAGAAAATTGAAAACAAAAATTGCTTGTAAAAATTAGATGCATTGTATGAAGAATTATCTCGTTCATCATCAAATGCTAAAACAGCTGGCGTTGATATCGAACGAGCTTATATGGCAATAACACATGAATTTCGTGAACAGCGTGATCAGCTTTTACGACGTCTTCATCATGTAAAAAAAGATATCAAAGAGTAAATTAATAAAAAACAAAAAAAATGCTTCAATCTGAAACATATTTCTCTAGATCATCCGAGGAACTCGATGGTATACGTACAAGCTTACATACCGCGCAATCATTTCATTTACCAAAAATGTAAAATTTTATTTATTTTCTTTTTTATTTCTAATTATTTAAAATTTAAAAAACCAACATCAGTTCACCAAGATATTCAGTTGACTTGGAAGCATACGAAATGAATGCTATGGTTGATGATATCGAACGTGTACTCAATAAAGTAGCACAACAATTGAAACGAGTAAATATATTCCTATTATTTTTCATATTTATTAGTAGAATAGTTTCATTTTATGCCATCGTATGGTCATTCTATGGGTAAAAAACTGGGTACACTAAACAGTAAAACTGTGGCACGCGAAGGAACGGGATTAACATCATATGGATCTTTTGTTAAGGAATATCCTACAACAAATGTTTATATTCATAAACTTTATACAGTTGATTTAGATATATCTGCACAATGGGTTATATCATCTATAGATAAACGCATATTTTTATGTGATATTGAAGGCGAAATACGTATATTTTCGTATTCACGTCATTTACATCGGCAGCCTTTGTTAACAGAACGTTTTCATCTATCGAATATACGTTTAATATCATTATTTACAGCTACGAAAGATTATTTAATTGCATTTGAAATTGATACACAAATTTTAAGTTTACATACACATCATGGAGCCTTACTGATACGTTTATATTTTCCGTACGATCCAATTATGATGACTCGTTGTGATTATTATATGAAAAATCAAATATGGGCATGTAGTCGTAATAAACGGCAATGCTCTCAATTTAGTCTAAATCACACAACAAAACAAGTTTACGTTTTAGATGAATTAAATTTTACAAAGCCCATAGCAAATATTTTAATCGATCCAGTTGGTATCTCATGCGATGAACAAGATCGAATTGCTATACATGACGTTAACACGACAACAACAGATCGTTTACTAATTTTTATGAATAAAACGAATAGAATAATACCACTCGACTTTGTAAAATATCATGATAAACTATTATCTTCGCGTATTGAACGTGTCCTACTAGTACCTAAACAACCGAATTTAATAGTTGTTGTTTATGCTCCACAATCGTCAACGACAAACCTCCATGAAATTATCGTTGTTGATATTAGTACGAAACCAACACAAATACTTCATTATTTTGCAGAAGCAAATGGAATACAAAGCATAGATGTAACATCAAATAATGAATTAGTTTATACAGTTACAAGACCCACAAATAAACGTATACCACCGAAGATGCATATCTACAGTATAATCGATTAATTAGGATACTTCCTATATAGACTCATTCACAGATATTTTAGACTTATTATTGCAAAATAAATAATATTATCAATTATGTCGTTTTTATATTTTGCGACGTTTTGTTTTTGACGCTTCTTGAACAATTAATACAAGAATATTTTGGAAGAAAAAATAATCTGTGGGATTTCTCTTATGTTCATTGCTGAATTTTTTTATTTAGAATCAGTTAGAAATGGAAGAGACCATCAAACTGAGATGACTCTATGTTAAGAATGCGTTGCATTATTTGGTAATATTTACCAACGTGAAAAAAAAATCGTTACATCAGATAATAAAGTCAAGGTTATGATAAATAATAAAAGTTGAAATTACGAAAACAAGGCACATAGATTGTTGTATATGAGATAAATATTTGCCGGTGAAAATAAATATTTTACTTGAATGTAAATGAATAATTTATGAAATCTAGTTTTAAAGTAACGCTAGGAATTCATGAGCAAAATACTTGTTTTTTACCCGAATGTATTGACAAAATAATGCATAATAAGCCTATTCTATTTACCTGCATAGTAAATAAAACGTAAATCAGCGAAAAGGAAACTTAATTTCATCTTGTTTTTGTTTTTCTTCCGTTATTTTATAGAAAGAAAATACAACTTGTTTTTCATTTTGTAATTGTGTTTAACATTGACCTGTTTGAATGCATAAGGCATCTTTTTCGATGCATTTATTTCGTACGATTTCACCTTTGAACCAGTAAAAATGTCTATTTTATTTATCTATGTTTTATAGGAGAATAGTAAACATGTATTGGTGGTTCAAATGGATAGTTTTATTAAGTTTAGCTATGTGGATTCAATACTATCGTAATTCAGTTTCGAAAGTAAGCTACATTGAATTTAACTGTCGGTGGCACTTTCATTTTATTTAACAAAAAAAACAACTTTTTAGTTACCTCGAACTCGTACAAAAGGTTCAACTCATATAACATCTTCAAATGTAAATCTTACCGAAACCTACGAATTTTATAATCGAGCTGAACAGAATAAAAACGGCTATTCAGAATTTAAGCTCACGGTATATAGTAAAGGCATTTGTGGTGACCTTCAAATTCCACCTTTGAAACGACCATGCACGCCGTTTTTACATTTACATGATGATCAAACTGAAAAATTTACTATCCTACAAGGTCAGTTTTCTTATCGATTTGGTGAGAAAATATATTCGTGTGATAGTCGTACATGTCCATCGCCTATTATTATCCCGCCGCTTGTTCATCATACGTTTTGGATGCATGAAAATAAGGAAGATCTTATTCTAATTATTCATATCGAACCGACTTCTAAAGATCATGGTCTACGCATAGAATCATTTGAAAATATAGTTGGTGTCAATCGAGACAAACTCATGAATCTTTGGCAAGCGTTTGTTTTTATTGATAGTATCGAAACATATCCAGTATTTTTACCATTACCTTTCGTAAAAGTACTAATGAAAATCGGTTCGCTAATCGGTCGATTACTTGGTTATCAAGCAGAATATGACGACTATACAACGATAGATTTTTAATTCAAACACTGTTGTTTTATGCTTATTTGAAGCTTCAGGTTTAAAAACGTTTTTTCTCTTGTTACATAGCGTCCCATAAAATATAAAATTCAATTAAAGAATAAGCTGTAAGTAAAAATAATATTCACTATAAAAATATAACGATAATAGAATCTTTTAGAAATGAATGCATTTGAACTGAAAAAAATAGACATATACATTTCACAGATTGGAATTTTACCAAGAAGAATTCTTCGTGTGACAATCAAATATGTCAAACTAGGAAAGCCACTTGTAGATAATAACGCACTACAATAAATAAGAAAAGGCGTTAAAAATTAAGCTACTCCAATAAATTCTCAGCTAATTTATTGATAACAGTATTAATGCATCTAACTCGATATCGAACTCGAGTATAAAAAAAATAACGATTGATTTGAAGCCCACATATAAAAAGGTGTTGTTAGATGAATTGTTGTGTCTGTTGGATAGCTACCGCTGATATGGCGATAAGTTAACGTAGTAATATGATGCGTATGAAATTGTGCATCAACATCGCATGCCGCCATTAAGATGTAATCTTGACTTTTCTCTTTAAGTCATAAGTTATCCTTGTAAGATTTGCCGAGAATTTCACATGCAGATTATTTTAAACCTAAAAACTAAAAAATCAGCTTAATTATGGTAATCTCTTAATCTTTGCCATTCAGTATGAATGTCGTATGTACGGTGTTTGAGTCAAATAATCATTGGAATAAGTTTCACTTCAGCTTGCACTGCAAGTGTGTCAATGCGTTGTTGAATCTATTCTAGTTAGTTCTTTATAATAACTGATTGTAACCAGATGTCGAATCTTGTTATCATTTTTGCGCGATAACAAGAGAGAATAATCTTGGTTCCTCGGAGTAGGAAAACAAAAAATCATCAACTACCCCGAAAAATAATAATTATACGTCGTGCTGTTAAGAGAGTAATGACAAACCAAATAGATACAGAAAACACTTAGTACATAAGGTAAAATATGAATGGCTAATTTATTTGAGAGAAATAGAAGCCAAAAATGCAGTAATCCGTAGAGAAAACAAACCGATATATAAAACATTAAATTTCTACACAATAATTGCCGCCTAGTTTTAATTGGGCAATTAATCTTTGAAGTCTGGTATTAGTATTAAAGACATGAATGATTGATAAGAAAGACGATAATGATATTGACTTTTATTCTTGTAATTCATCTTCTAGCGAGAGATAGTGATCGCTGCAAGACAACAGTTTTTCATTTCAAAAGTAGAATTCTCTTGCATTCCTATTCAATTATTAGCCTACGTCTGATAACTATAAGAAGCTTTAAGAAGAACATTGTGTTGAAAACGCACGACTAAGACTAATTCGTTTTTAATGAATTTAATATTCTTTTTACACTTCCGTATGATTCTTTGTTAAGGCAGCTAATTATAATTATTTTTCTTGTTATTTTTGATCGAGACACCTGACAGTATATTTGACTAGGATTTTTTAAAACGTTTATTTCGTATCTTCTATCTGTGCTTTCGCAGTATTCTTTGTTTTTGCTTGTGTTGATTAAGTTACCAAACAACATATTCGACATGGAACCATTGATGGTTACTAAAAAGGAAAACCCAATGGATACAACTATAGAGCCCTTGGGAGTTGGAGAAATAAAAAGAACAAGAAAGGATTGATGCATGTTAAAATACACTTATATACTGATTCATGATTTTTTTTAACAAGCTACTTTCGTTAGAAAACTAATAAGAAGAAAACAGAACGCGTAGTTGTTTCTTGAAATAGAATAATGAATCCGATAAATTAAACATAAGTATTTGTAGCCGTAAAATAAAACAAATTCTATTCGAATAAATATTAGATTGGAGTATTTAAAAGGAAAAACATTATTTGTTCCGATATATTTGTTTGCATTGACAGCTTATGTTAGAACATAACTCTGATGACAACTAAACGGAAGATCCACTCGCTTGTCAATTGTGTTTTTCCGGTTTCGTGTGTATACGTTCATGTATGTTAGTGCAACATGATTAGCACCCGCTCGTCGTTCCTATGCGGGCTGCTCTTTTGCATCTTTTTTTTTGTTTTGCTTTATCAACTCACAACATTGAATGCACACAGTGAATCAAGAGTGATACATAGCATGAAGAAGCGAACGCCTATGCTCACACATATAATTGCCAGAAGATCTCTTCTCATCAAACAACACATATATAACACTCGACGCCAACTAACTTAACGCAGAACAGCAAGGAGAAAACACAAGGAAAGCGACCATTTTCGCTTCTCATCGTCTTTCTGTGATCCCAGTTAGATGAAAAAGAAAGAAAGAAGACAGATGATGATGACGGCAACAACAACAACAACAACAACAACAACAACGACAACGACATCAATGATGACTTGTTTGTGTATGTGCGAATTTCAGTTTGCTTCTCTGACATCGACAACAAAACGACCGATATCTTCTAGCCCGCGTGTCTTTCGCATCTTATTCTGTCTAGTAAAAGGCAAATGAAACAAAGAATCACTTTCCTCGTTTGCATTAGCAACGTTTGTATCTAAGAAACAGCATATACACAAAAATATAGACAGATGGTTTAGTTTTTGTCGTTGTCATTATTAATGTTGTTATTGTCACTGTTCGATGTTTCCTTTTTCATCATCCTAATCATCATATCATAGGTTTTATCTTTACATATGATTAGATTTTTTATTCAATATAATAGATTACATTGAAATAGTGTTTTCAAAAAAGAAAAGAAACATTTTTACTAAAAATAATTAGTTAACAGATTATTTTCTCTATGCAAGAAAAAAAGAAATCATAGCATCTGGTGATCGAGAATAAATATGTACATGATCTTATGTTTTTTGCCAGAAATACTATGGCTACCTTACTTGACATCCTAATTATTTGTGACAGAATGGGAAAGAAGAAAAAAAATAGTTCCAACTGAAATAAGTAAACGAGACCTTGAAGCGTTTGTGTTCATATATTATAAGTTATGCTTCCAGCGCAAGGTAGATCAAATACACAATAGAAGAAGAAGAAGGCAAGAGAAAGAGAAAGAGAAGACAAGTAGGACACCAATAATATTATATATCTAGTGGTTTTTTCCCTCATCGTTGGTTGTCTTCGATCAAGTTAGTTCCCTATGTTTGCATAGTGATTATTCGAAACATTTTACTAACAGCATAGTTATTTTTATAGTCACCATCAATAATATAAATCGAGTTTGACTTTCCTTATTTCCTTTCTCTCACTCGAACTAATGAAATGAAAGTATCTTTCTTTCTTTCCCTCTCTTTTCCTCCTTTCTCTATTTTTATGGTTCTCTTTATATTGTTTTGTTTTCAGATTTTTTAGCGTATGACTATTACAATCACAACCATTATTCGATGCGTGTACTGATAGACGATGAAAGTAAGTGGCAGGAGCGGCAATTCAGACTAAAATTGGTAGATATAGCAATGCAGAGCACTGCCGTCAACAATGCTCTCTTTCAATCATGTAACCAATTCGACTATCTTGCCAACGAAAACCATTCGAACAACGTCATCTGCTTATCGTCCATTAACCAACAATAAAAAGCAAACAAGCCGAAAACGTCCAAAGACCACTACTTTCACTACCATTACGACTACTTCGTTTTTCTCAGTGCATATCACAAATCTAACTTCTTCTACTTCTTCTTCTTCTTCAATTTCATCTTCCGAACAGCAGCAAGTTTTATTAGAAGATACCTATTCAGCTAAAACAGGAATCAAGATAGCAGCTATCCTAGGCGGTATGTAATTTATATCACAGGAAAAACTACATGAAAGAAAGAGGGAAAATGTCATTTATTTTATCATTACTATTCCTTGTAAAACCTATTTATATAGACTCATCGATGCATATATGATTTCCATGCACAATAAAATGAAATTTAACAATTTACAATCCGACATCAGAAACTAAATCATGTCTTTTATACTGAGAACAAAATCCCTCAGATTATTGATAGAGTAAAAATAACATAAGGAACGTGTATGTTGATAAGCAATTTCCGGCATATAAATTAAAAACATTTCTAGATGAATAAATTCGAATTGATTTCTCATTTAAAAATAAGTTCCGTTTTTTCTTCTTTCTTTTCTTAATTTGTTTGTTTTTTTCAAAGAAAACTAATTGTTTTGTTTAATTATTCATGAATCGAATTCAATTAATTTTTTTCTATAGAAGTTTAATTCCAGAAAAATCATATTAATTGAATTTAGTTTATATAGATACTCTTTTTTAATATATATTTAATGACACAAAGAAAACATAACATTCTAAATATAAACTAATTGCTCAAACTACTGAAGCAAATATAATTATCTTGCTATTTATTGAGCTTTATTGAATTAGGACTAATTAAAATAATCAATAAACATTTGGATTAATAAAAATAATAAATCTTAAGTTGAAAAGTTTCTATATTTTTTCCCGCCATAGTTATTTTATTTTGCTTATTAAACAATTTCTTGATATATATGTACTGTTGTTAATGCATCGTTCTGAGTAAATAGATCATTCTTTCAACATGAGTACCACTTAAGTTGAAAAAATAGAAAGAATACTTCTGACGCTAGATGATTGCGGTTGATATGTAAACACAATAATAGGAAAAAGAAAAGAAAATAGTTTAAGATGCGCATTGAAATAGGAAAAACAACATGACAACGAATAAAATCGTTAGGATATTCCGAAAAAACAGTAATGCGACAGTTTGACTATGAATGATGAAAGAAACTAATGATAAAAAACCTATTATATTTCAATAGGAACAGGAGGATAGTGTTGACTGTTGATAACGAGCTTTATACGATGGAAGAAAACCATTCAATTCATGATTAATTACCAGAAATAGAAAAACTTTGCAGATGAAAAACAAACAAATGCATTTACACATAAATGATTACCACCCCCTAGAAAAGAAAGAAACTCATTAATAATGTAATTGTATATATCACGATGACGATTAGATCAAAATGTTTTATTTCAAGGTCAATATTATACTTGAATCAGTTAATCATCGATGAAAAACTGTATCGAAACTTCTTGTTTTTTTTTATAGGCATGTTGCTTATGTGTATATTATATTTAATTTGGAAAGCTCGTAGTCGATTGTGTCGTTCTCTATCATCTGGAATCCGTAATCCGCGTCTATCGGCAACAAAATTCGATTTAGAATATTGGCTTAAACAAGTCGATTTACTTGAAGCAAAAGAAGCTGAACGTAATCTTGGTAGTCAATCTCCTTATCTTGAACTACCAATTGTAGAACCGCGTAATAATCGTGAAGCAACAGCTTTGTGGATTGTTGATGCCTATCGTAATTGGCGTCTTATTCAATATCGACAGCAACAACAACTTTTTCGAAAAAATGCTAATCCACAAAGTGAAACTAACCCTATAATTTATCGAAGGCGACTTAATCCTATACGTCGTCTTATTCGACGTTTTCTTATGCCACATCGTCAACATTCATCGTTTTTACTTGAACATTCACAGTCGCTTATTAATGAAGTGAGACCTAGTATAGTGTGTAATAATTTTATTCCGCCATCACTTATACCTAATTTACCGATTCGACGAACTGCTTCATGGCCTCGTCTTAAATCCAGTCGGCATCAAATAGGTGTCCCAATGAGTGCTCTTCAAACGCATCTGGTTAGGAAACGTCTTCTCAAACGAACATCGAGAACTACAATTGATATATAGGCAAAGAAGTTTTCAACGTTGGATTGTCTATCATTTGTTTTTAGTCTTTATTGTTGTTTATATAAGAAAAAGAATAATAAAGATAGATTTTAATTATGATTTTTATGCATAAAAAAAAATTATCATTTATCATTATGGCATCGGAAATTAATACTTGTTATCATCAACACATGCCATTTGATCATAATAGTTTCTTTTTTTCTTGAAGATTTTATGTCAGAAGACGTTAATTGATAGGCACTGTGCTTCAAAGTTTTTTCTTACAATTCTTGTCATTCGATATATGTTTAGCTTTATAAAAGCTTCAAAAAAAAATAGTTGAGCTTGATTTTGGAATATTAATTCTATAGTATACAATACAATCATTGGCGAAGATACTTGGCCTTGTACTGAGACATATACTTAGTTACTAAGAGTAGAGAACTAAAAAAAAAACTGTCTTGTCTCGAGATAATAATCGGTTTGTTTGTGAGTGCAAATTGATTGTCTGCCATCTGGCGTATTTTTGTTATAAAATAAATGTGGAAACATCGGATTTAAATCCGAGTATTATGTGTACTTCAAAAAGCGAAAATGTACATCCATTTTTTTCTATAAGGCATAGATCTCGTCAAGATACGTCCCTTCTCGCTAAATTGCAAGGAGAAAATACAGGCGTGCTAAGTTAACATGGACCACACTGTATGCGACTCTATCTAGAAGACCACTGACTATGCTCTCAGAATGATATAATATCTTTAGAGATCACAGAAATTGAGTTCAGATTCGTGTTCAGCTTGGAAAACTGGATAGGAAGAGTTATTTTTGAATGGATTTGTGTTTGTATCTAGCAGGATTACGATCGTAAGCAATCTCATGGATTTATAAGAGATATATGATAGATGCAGGCATCAGTATTTTCATAATAAATCATCAATAGTAATAGCTATCGAGTTCAGGTTTTTACCTTTCGATAGTCCTTTTGACTAGCAACAAAATCAGGCATTTGAGAAACTCCCAAGCTGTTGGTCATCTGAGACATATCTAAGCAATTTGGTTTCTAGATGTAGTTTTTGCGTATTTTGAGACCTTTTCCAGTCAATGTTTCGTCAGAAAACTACGATTTTTTTCCAAAACTAATATCAGATTCAGAATCAGCGTTAAAAACTGAATTGATTTATATATGTTGTGGATAACTCTGAAAAAAAAGTTCTTTTTGAAAAATCCCTGTATCCCCCTTCAGGGATGGCCTGATCAAAAATGACAATTTTTTCGATAACTCAGTCATTTCTTGACGGATCCTTCTCATCTTTGAACTCAACTGAGACATTAATCAGGCTGAACTGTGTAGAAAATTTCGTCATTATCTAACTCTCCTTTCGAGAGTTATCGTGTAAACGGACGGCCGGACGGACACACTGACCGATTCTAGAGTATACTCACTTTTTTGAGTACACAAAAGAGCGAAGGCAGCAAATGTTTAAAAATTTCATTATTATTAGGTTTTCTATTTTCTATGAAATGCCATTTTTTTAAGATTGATATGGAAAAATAAAAGGAACAAATTCTACTAATATCAAACTGAGATCGATTCAATGAAATGACACGCCAATTAATGATGTAAAAGTATATTAATAGTAAAATTACAAAAAATATCGTGTACTTTTGATTCACTTAGTATACAGTTACAGCTACCTTGGTTTTATCTATAAGTTGTTTACTCTGATCGAAGACTAACGTGTCTTCTCTTTCGCCATTTTGTCATATTTTTGTTTTCTGGTAATTTACCATCAATGTCGTTGTCTTCTTTTTTCCCCATCAATGAATCAAGATATTTTTAGCATTAATCGTATAATAATTATACTTATTTTGGCTCAGATTTCTTACGGAATCAGTAAACGGTTATTAACAAAGCCGTATACTCAGTGTAAACATTCTAGCATATAACATTCAAAATTATCATGAATTAAATGAATATTTATATTTTACTTTTTTTTGACAAATCGAAGTTTATTTAGTATGTAGCAGAACTAAACCTATTAAAAATATATTGTATGTAAAACATTAAAAACGAGGTGAATATTTCTAATAAGGACTTCGGAAGAGTCTTCAACAACTATGTTATTGGAAATTGTAAAATTGAATAAATATTTTTTGACCTATTTGAATAATAATATAATTTATTGGCTATTTGAAGTAACGGTGCAGTAATGCATGGATTAAATTGGCAATAACATTTTTAACAATAGCAATTATGGTCATCAATTAGAATATTCGTTTAGTCAAAGCAGTAGAGAAAAAAAACAAAATTAATATTTAATTAAAATTATTTTATTTTATTTTATTCATCAGAAATCAAGATAGAATAACACGGGGATAATCATTGGAAAATATAGCTGTCGATATCAAAATATTTCATGTATACTATATAATCCCATGTAAAGCCAGGCCAAATAGCCGTGTTATTTCCTTTCGCATCTTGATACCATGAATGGCAACCACCACTTTGCCATACGGTGCTCTTTAATTTTGATTGTATTGTTTGATTGAATTGTTCGTGTACATTTTGTTTAACATCGATCATTTGAAGATCGTTCTTTTCCATATGCAGAAGAGCTTCGGCTATGTAATGTATTTGTGCTTCGATCATTACAAGAACTGAATTATGACCAAGACCAGTGTTGGGTCCAAGAAGGAAAAATAAATTTGGAAAATTAGGTACCGTTGCACCACGATATGCCTATGAAAAAGAAAGCAATTTTTTAAAATATCTTTCTGGTATTAGAAAAATGCAAAGTGTCTACAAATTTAGAACGTTACTGTCCTTGTTCCATATTAAATCACTTTAATGTATTATACTTATAGCTTCTAAAATCTAGCATAGTCAATTTTCTACAAGTTTAGTTAGAAATCTTTCCATAATACACGATTGAGAAACAAAAGCATACGTTGAACTTTGCAGTATGTTCATTTATCTAATTCCCATTCTAATTGATTTAAAACTTTGACTTTACTGGAATTTTAACGACATTTCTTCAAATGATATCGATAGATATTGGATTATTTTCGAAACAAATCAAGGAAAATAAATGAAAAATCCCTAAGTTAGATACCTAATGATAGTAATATTTGCAATTTACATCCCAATGCAAAGCTATAGAAATCAAACATCATAGTTACTTATTATGAAATACGTCTCTAACGCCCTTATATCATTTCATTCAGATCATTTACCTCAAAAGATTCTGACCATTGTTCAGCTAATGATCGACCATTCATTCCAACGATATTTAATGTAAATGTTTGAACCTTGAATCCAGTTGACCACACAATAATGTCTACTGGATGTTCAGTGCCATCGCGAGTTACAATTGAATCCGATTTAACTTCTTGAATACGATCCGTCACTAGTTTTACATTTGGTTGTTCTAGAGTTGGATACCAAGCGTTCGATACAAGAACACGTTTACAACCAAGATCAAATTTGGGTGTTAATTTTTTTCTTAGTTCTCTATCTTTTACTTGTCTCCCAAGATTAAGTTTGGCAATTTCTTGTAGAGCATGGCGTATGGGCAAACGATAAGTAAATGAAAGTGCCGTAGCTTCACGCATCCAATAGACCAAACCTCGAACAAGTTTCTGAATAATTGGAAATCTTGCAAACAGTCGTTTTTCCCAATTTGAAACAGGCCGATCCATTCGAGGAATAACCCATCCAGGTGTACGTTGAAACACCAGCAGTTGTTTCACACCAATTTTATGTATTTCGGGTACAGTTTGAATGGCACTAGCACCAGTGCCAACTACTGCTACTCGTTTATTTTTAAAATCAATTGTTTTATCCCATTCAGCCGTATGACACATTCGACCTTCAAATTTATCAATACCAGGAATATCAGTTGGATAAGATGCATTCGATAACGGGCCATAACCAGCCATCACAAATCGAGCATAAATTTGTTTTTCTTCATCATTTGATTTAGTTGTGACTCTCCATACATGTCGATCTTCAATCCATTCANCCAACTACTGCTACTCGTTTATTTTTAAAATCAATTGTTTTATCCCATTCAGCCGTATGACACATTCGACCTTCAAATTTATCAATACCAGGAATATCAGTTGGATAAGATGCATTCGATAACGGGCCATAACCAGCCATCACAAATCGAGCATAAATTTGTTTTTCTTCATCATTTGATTTAGTTGTGACTCTCCATACATGTCGATCTTCAATCCATTCAAGTTTTGTAACTGTTGTATCGAATTGAATATGTCGACGAATATCATACTTATCGGTACAATGTTCAAGATATTGACCTATTTCAGGTTGTCGACTAAAGAAATACGACCAGTTTGGATTGGGTTCAAATGAAAACGAGTAAAGATTAGATGGAACATCACATGCACATCCTGGATATGTGTTTGCATACCATGTACCACCGACATGTCCATGGCGTTCAATAATAGTGAAATTATCAGTACCTAATTCTTTTAATTTGATAGCCATGCCTAAACCAGAGAAACCAGAGCCAATAATAAGAGAATAATATTCGTTGTCTTTTTTGTTATTTGCTGAAGTGAGTTTACGATTTGCATTTCGATTACGAAAACCACATGGATCCAAAAAGAGCCAGTAGAAAAGCTGTCCTGTAAAGCCAACGATTATTGTTACAAGGATGGTCGAATATGTTATTATAAGTAGACCTAACATATAAAGTATGTTCCATATTTGGTGTACCATGGTAAATAAGATACTTGTTTTGTGTCTGTTTCGTTACTTCGAACGAAATTGTTGATGAAGTTAAACACAGTTCTTATCTAAAAAGTCAAATGATAATCTTAACTCAGTCGTATACTTTGTCGTTCGAATTACACGAATGTTATATGCAGAAGGTAAACGAAAAAGCACGTGTGAAAATGTTTCTTCTACTTTCTGCTTTCGAGTTGCTTGCCTTTTACAAGGCCGCTATTTGCATTTTCTTATAGAAAAAATATATCTAAACAGCGAACGCTGCCCTGGATGGTGTATTATCATCTAATATGACGTTTCATTTGTGATACGCAATACACAGTAATACTTCACTTATGCACGTGAGTCTATCAACGAATTAAAATTAATTTCTATACAAAAACAAGTAACACAAATTTGAAATAGATCGTAAAGGTATATTATCGAAACGCATAAAAATGTTTTCAACAATCGTTTGTGAGTTTAAAATGCAAAATAAATATAAAGAAATTCAAAATTAGAGTGTTTTTTAGTCAAAATTGTTCATAAGCAAAATAAAAATTCAATAATAGATCATTCTATTAATTCCTTTCCAGGGTTGACACCAAGAACAATAACAACCAACCACTTACTTTCTTCTCATTGTTCATTTGACAATATCAATCGACTATTCATGCTTTTTGAATAATTGGAATTCTTTCGAATAGCTGTTTTTTCCGGTTTATAATAATTTGATTCATTCGAGAATTAACCCTACCGAGGTAGGTATACGCTGGAAAACAAACCATTGTCTCATATCAGTTGGATAACATTTATTTGATATAGCACTATAACCAGCCACACTCTGAAATACCATTTGATTGAGTTTGTAGTTTTCACACTTGTCTATCGTCAATCTATTCAAGTTTTGTAACTGTTGTATTGAATTGAATATATCGATGAAAATCACATCTATTATCTGGACAATGTTTAAGATATTTCTTCATCTCTTGCTGTAATTTTGTTTAAGAATAAATTTTTCGAATAAAAGCAAGAGTGAGAGTATGATAACAGATCTTTTTTCTTGCTATTTTCAGCTTTTTTGTCGATAAAAAATTGTTATGTTCGAGTCAATGCACGTGTTTGTGTAACAGTAATAAATCTTGTGATTTAATCTTAAGAGCTAGTTCCATGCAAAATAAATTTATCGATAGCTAATTACAATAGTTATCATCTTAATGATACATTAAAGCACGTATAAAGCTTTTTTTTTGGTAATGCATAAAATATGAGAACGTCTGTCGCTGAGCATATATTGTCAATTATTCACGAACATTTTTTGTCAAGCTATACTTAATCAGAATATTGTAGCAGTTATGTAGAGAGACAGCGAATACTATTTACAATAATCTGTGTGTTATTCTCTAATGTAAAATTTTTCTCATTTCTTTGTAAAATTGAAATAACTGACTATCACAAAAACACATCAACTGCTAAGCTACAAAAATATAAACGCTTTAAAATAGAGCTTTTTTCCTCAAATAAAATTGTCATTATATCCGAATTGAAAATATATTGTTGTTTTTATGTAGCAATTTATTTATTTGTTTTGATATGCTTGGTTGTTTTTAGTGCGAAAATAAAAATATACTCAGTATATTCATACATCGCAGCGCTTATCAGGATTCCAACGAAAACATTATTTGCAAAGGACGTTTCCCTCAGGATTTATCAGAACACTGCGGTGTATGAGTATATTACTCAGCACACAGACTTGTATTTTCTCCGCTGACTTTGTACATACGTTTTTTTACAAAAACTCGAGTCTTCTGCTAAATGATAAGACTGTCTAGAAAATGAAGTATCCAGTAAAACTAAACATGGATTTTAGTGATGCTCTGAGTCAAGATCAGGAATTATAGAAATTTCTCGTAGTTAAACCTACACTTAGTTGCTGATCTTTTATCATCATAAATAAACTCACTCTGAACAAGTCAATTTTACTAAAATCGATTATGAAGAACTGATAATTTTCGCAACAACATCAATGACTTCCAGTCAATATGTAATGCAATAGAAAAACAAATACAGTAAAACTCTATGTAAAGATGGCATAAAGCAATATAAAATGAAGTTTATAAACTTATCGTCTAAACATATGAAAGTCATTCAAGATAATTACAATAGTTTATATGAAAATGTGTTTAAAAGCTTTTATTTTTCGAAAAAAGTAAAATATAAACATGTTTATTTAACTACAAAAAATGAATAATCATGATTGAAACATATAGTTCTTAAAGTCGAAGTTTTTCATCAGCAAAATATAAACCCATGTGAAATCAGGCCAGATTGTTGTATTATTTCCTTTGGCATCTTGATACCATGAACGACAACCACCACTTTGCCATACCGTATTCTTCAATTTTGCTTGTAATTTGTGATTAAACTCATCGTGTACATCTTGTTTAATATCGAGCGTGCGAACATTATGTTCTTCCATATATAGAAGAGCTTCGGCTATATAATGTATCTGTGCTTCAATCATGACTATCACCGAATTATGACCAAGACCCGTGTTTGGACCAAGAAGAAGAAAAGTGTTCGGAAAGTTTGGTACAGTTACGCCACGATATGCCTTAACGAAAATGAAACACATTTCGATAAAAATCTTGCAGAAAAGAAATCATGTAACACTTACTTGCATTGTTTCTGACCATTGGTCTTGTAGATTTTGACGATTTATTCCAACGACATCTAATGGAAACGTTTGAACTTGAAATCCGGTTGACCATATAATGATATCTACTGGATATTCGACGCCATCACAAGTTACTATTGAATTCGATTTGATTTCTTGCATACGATCCGTTACTACTTTTACATTTGGCTGTTGTATAGATGCATACCAATCATTCGACAGAAGAACACGTTTACAACCAAGATCAAATTTGGGTGTTAATTTTTTTCTTAGTTCCTTATCTTTTACTTGTCGTCGAAGGTTAAATTTAACAAGTTCTTCATTCAAAAGTCGAACAGGTAGACGATAAGTAAATGAGAGTACAGTTGATTCACGTACCCAATAGACAAAACCTCGAACAAGTTTTTGAATAATTGGAAATCTCGCAAACAATCGTTTTTCCCAATCATTGACAATTCTATCAACTCGAGGAATAATCCATGGTGGTGTACGTTGAAAAACAAGTAATTGTGTTACACCAGCTTTTTGTATTTCAGGTACAGTTTGAATGGCACTAGCACCAGTCCCAACTACTGCTACTCGTTTATTTTTAAAATCAATTGTTTTATCCCATTCAGCCGTATGACACATTCGACCTTCAAATTTATCAATACCAGGAATATCAGTTGGATAAGATGCATTCGATAACGGGCCATAACCAGCCATCACAAATCGAGCATAAATTTGTTTTTCTTCATCATTTGATTTAGTTGTGACTCTCCATACATGTCGATCTTCAATCCATTCAAGTTTTGTAACTGTTGTATCGAATTGAATATGTCGACGAATATCATACTTATCGGTACAATGTTCAAGATATTGACCTATTTCAGGTTGTCGACTAAAGAAATACGACCAGTTTGGATTGGGTTCAAATGAAAACGAGTAAAGATTAGATGGAACATCACATGCACATCCTGGATATGTGTTTGCATACCATGTACCACCGACATGTCCATGGCGTTCAATAATAGTGAAATTATCAGTACCTAATTCTTTTAATTTGATAGCCATGCCTAAACCAGAGAAACCAGAGCCAATAATAAGAGAATAATATTCGTTGTCTTTTTTGTTATTTGCTGAAGTGAGTTTACGATTTGCATTTCGATTACGAAAACCGCAGAGATCAATAAAGATCCAGTAGAAAAATTGACTAGCAAAGCCTACCACCACTGCTAACGTCATAACAATATAGGCACCTAGCACATATAATAGTAATAGCCCTTTCGACATTGCTGCGTCGTCCATCTAGAAAACGTTTCGAAAAATATTATTTTGTATGAAGCGATACGTGAAACTTTATAGTGACTACGAACACTCCACTTTTTAAATGTCTTTTTATCGCGCGTGACTACGTCATCGTACGATCGGTACGAACGGAATTTTAAAGCATGTCGTTGTTGTCTTAGGGCAAAGTACATTTTAATATTTTTTTTCTCTTTCTGTTTTTGTCTGCATAAAGCTTGAGTAAATAGAAGAAGACCTTATCATCATTGCATTGCTTAACTCATTGCTATACGTTAGATGAATAGTACTCGAGTATCTTCATATATGTAAATCTATATAGTCGGTATAATAAAGAACATTATAGTATTATAAGAACACAGAAGAGATATGTCACATCATAGTGAATCAGTTTTTAAAATAGACCGAAGAAAAAAAAAGAAATATTCTATTTCACGAGTAATTTATCTAGTCATATTTAAAATATGTCTGGCGCGCCGGAGTAATGGTTTATCAACCATCGTTTGACCACGAAATGTAAATGCTCCTTTGCCTTCTTCTTTTTCATGTTTTTCATACGCTTCAATTAATTCTTTAGCCCATGTTGTGCTTGATTCTGATGGAGAAAATGCTGCTTGAACAATTGGTACTTGTTGAGGATGAATGACTTGTTTACCAGTAAAACCCCAAGCAGCACCTTGTTCAGATTGTTTTTTTAATCCATCTAAATCTTTAAAATTAATATAAACCATATCAATTGGTTGAGCATTTTCAAATAAACGACATATTGTTACTAATTTTTGCCTTGCATAAGTTAATTCGACTGCATCAAGTGAATAACGACCGTTAATACCAACATCAGCTGAAAAATCATCTGAACCAAAAACTACACCTTGTAATGAAAATAAACTCGAAGCAGTAGTAAGAATTGAACGAAGATCAACTAAACTTCGTGCACTTTCACAATATAATACTAAATTATATTGACGATTCGACTAAAGAAACAAAGTAGAAAATAATCAAAAGTTGAAACTGCATCCTTAAAACTATTACTGATGTTCTATCATGAATTGAAATCAATCTATTTTATTTTATATAATGAAACTCATTTTAAGATGAACTGTACACGCACAGAATTTCTGATCATTTTTGTTTAGAATAAATTTAACAGTATGAACACTTACACCAAGACGATCCGCAAGCCATTTCATTTCATCTACTGTATCAACTTTGGGCACGAATAGACAATCAATTGACGTTGATAAATCTTTTAAAAGTTTAACATCATCGTTAATATGATTAGATGAAACAGCGTTGATGCGAACACAAATTTCACGATTAATTTTTGATGCTGATTCATTTAAATAACGAAATATATTTTCACGTGCTAGTTTTTTGGCAGTTTCAGCAACCCCATCTTCTAGATCAAGTACAACACAATCTGTATTTGTAAATGTTGTAAGTTTTGTTAACTTTTTCCAATCACTCGATGGTACAGTCAAAACAGCACGACGAGGTAAACTTCGACCAAAATAAGCACCTACTTGACGTAGAGTAGCCGCAGCAGCCATCTTCACTTTCCAAACCCTCGAACATTTACAGACTTACTAAGCAATGGTCACAAATAAATAACTAATCGTATGCGAAATTTCAGAGCTTCGATGTATACAGATCTATTGATAGAAATATCATTATTATTATCATTATATTTTAACTAATTAAGTAGTTTTACGTAAAATAGATTTAAATTTGTCGCAAACATCCTGTGTATGAGTGACCTCTATCGTCTCATTTTATATGCAAGCAATATGTTATATACTAATCTTTTGAACAAAATAAAATCAGCTGAGGAAAATGAAACCATACTATTCAACTAAGGTCCTTCTCATAGTCATAAAAAATTCAATAAATCTTTTCTCACAATTTAGTCCATAGTTTCATGTGCTTAACTGTACCACTCAGATTCATTTCAATATAATCATCAATATATGATTGCTATGTTTAGCAAACAATGTTTGAAATAATTAATGATGATTTAATAATTGATCTATCGCGGTATCGACTAATTTAGTTACATCAATTCAGTTTGACCAAAGAGTCTCGCTTTATTGAAAAATTGTGGTTTGCAATTTCTAGTGACTTTTTTTTATTGATTCATATTCTTCAACAATTTTCGATCGAACTTTTAAGGAAGCCACAGCTCTCGTACCTACGCAATTTTCTACCACTCTACCATAAACACTTTTCATTTGAAGAGGCTGAATTTGTTTTTCGATATTAATTCAAGTGATTTCATTGTGACTGAAAATATATTCTATTAAATGATGAATTTGCAATTGAAAGTTTCTAGCTACGTAATTATAGACTCTTGTTTTGCGACAATAATTTTTTCTAAATGAATCCCAAATAAATCCTTTATAAAAAAAAGCGGGGATAAACAATGAAAAAGTGCAAAGAGACCTATTGATTCTGCCAAACTTGTTGTTTTGTTTATTTTCATTGTTAAATATCAAAACCACAAATAGACGGAAAAAAAATTCTTCTAAAATAAGATCTAATCTTCGATAAAAATTGAATGATAGAAAAAATTTAAACATTGCTTATATGCTTCTTGAGCATTATTATAAACTTTGCCTTTAATTGTCTTATCTCCTGGCATCTGTTCGTCGCATTGAGCAATGAAGTCTTCGAATGTATGTAACTCATCTTCTGAAGGTATTTCTCCTTGTATTAACCGTTGGAATGCTTCATCGAATGGTTTTGATATTATATTTTTTTCACCAGTTCCCTCGGATAATCGATCATAATTTGGCCATTGTTCAATACATGGTTGGCATTGACATTGAAAATGATATTGTTCATCAAGTTTCTTTTGCCGTTCTTCTTTAGCCATTGTTGCTGATAAACAACCATAATTATCTACTAATTCAATATTATTCGATGATATCGAACTAAGAAGACGAACTAGTACAGTATCACCAATAAAATTCCGTATTACATTTGGATTACACGAATGGTTAAATAAACTCAATGTTGCATATATACCTGCACCTATTTCATTGCACGATGATGATAGTGGCGATGAACGATGGTAGATAAATTCTGATATCTCATGTGCATTACATGGTAATGATTGTAGATGAGATAAGAGTAATGAACAAATATATATTTGATAGTCTAAATTTTCATATGCTTGATGACTAAATGACGTATTACCGATAAGTGAAATACCAATACTACATGCTTGAATAGATCGTTGTAATAAATCATCCACTGAACGTTTATGTGAATTTGTTTCTAATTTTAATATGTTTTCATAATTGTCCCATTGATAAGTTTTGTCCGTTTCATTTTCTATTTTATTTCCTTTGAGATAATTTTCAAATTGTACTTTATTTTTAAATAATTCTCGCCATCCAGTTTTAGTTATTAAACGTAATGCTAATAATTGCATTTTATCAAGACGATCGATTGTAAGCCGACATTCAAATGCATGCCAAAGTATAGAACTTTGAAGACAATCGAATGAACAATAAACGGCACGTGTACATTGAGAACAGGCAAATACGATAAGTTGAATTCGACGTAAACACATATGACAATGAGTTAACCATGCCGACGGTAATAAAACAGAAGCATATGGCTTTTCAATTAAGATAATTGTGCCAGGTTTTAATATTGATGAATTATTCGCTGAGACAACATGTCGGCCACGATCTGGTGAACTATGAATATCAGCATGCGATGTTAAACTTGGATAATTAGTATTGAATGTTTGATTTAATTTCAATTGTTCAAGTTCATGTTCTAATTGAGTATTGTCATCGTCGATTATTTGTTCATCTTCAGCTTTACTTCTAAGACATTGTTGTAAACGTTGTTCAAGACGTTGTCGACGTACATCATCTTCTTCATTCGATGATAGAAGATCAAGAGCACGATGTATATCTTGTGATGCTAAATGATAATATTTAAGATTAAATAATGTTGCCGATCGATTTCCTAGAGCAAGTGAAAGTTCGCGTGAATAAGATGGAGCATAACGTATGGCTTGGTTGTACAATGATAATGCAATTTGATTATTATTTGATGCATAAGCTTCGTTACCTTTTTCACGAAATTCGGTCGATGTTTTAACGCATTTTAAACATGTTGTTTGTTCATCTAGTAATGCCGAGGATTTTTTAAGAAGTGAAACAAATTCAGAACATGATAGAAGACATGTTATACGAGAAAAATCGTTTGTACATGCAGCAAAAGCTTCTCGATCAATAATATTCGATGCAAGATTAGCCAACGACAACATATTTCTTCTTTACTTTACTACTGCAGAGAATAATCAAAGAGGTCAGACAATGTTGCACAACGATATTTGTCGTTCTTTTTCTTCTTCTTTTTTTTTCTCCTTTTTCTCGTTCTTACGTATGGCTTAGCTATTGTATATTACGCGGCATTTACTGCGATCTACAGCTAAACACGTATTCTGAATGTAACAGCATTTCTATAGATTAAATACTCTAGTCTTGTTAGATTCTGCATTTCTTTTTGTAATACACATCATTTCTTTGATAAAATGGCGACAGTCGAATGTGATACGAACTTCATAGAAGTGTGAAAATAAAAACTAACGGAGTTTCATCATTATATGACAGCTATATTGAATTATACAGGAAAAATTGAAAATGTGAAAGCCTTTCAATACTGTGAGTGTTGAATTCTTATAATTGAATTCTTTTTTTAAAAAATTGATATCAACACTAATATTGTTTTCATCAATGATTTGTAAAGCAAAAGTCAAAACTAGCATGTTTTTTATTATCTCATCATTTTTGCCGAAAAACAGTTTCATTTCAACAAGTTCGTCTGTCATACATACCCACGTGTATCTTTCAATCTTCATACATTGATAAAAATGTTGAAATCTGAAGTAGTTAATGTTCCATCCGGTCCTGGAGTTCAAGCGATACCTGCTTCACCATCATATACTGGTGGTCTGTATGTGTCTTCAGCAAAGCTTTGTCTTCTACACGTAAGATAATTTTGAAATCTTTTTCATAATCATTAGTGTTCATTGCTCGATAAATCAAGTCATGAATAGCAACGTCTAATTTGGGAAACTTTAAAAAAGACGATTAATAACTGTCAATAAAATAAATGAATCTAATTTAGTTTCCATTATTCATGAACTATTCAAAGTTAACATTGTATGTGGTCGTAGATTATTTGCTCGTGGCGTCGTTCAAGTTCAAATGGTACCGCCATTTTATACATCGATCTACGTTGCATTGGTTTCAGTGATTAATACAAAATTTTCACAAATCGGTAAACTGATCGTCAAACGTCTTTCTGACATTTTCGTTTCGTCGAACATATTAGCGAAATGATAAAAAGGCATTGTTTAGCAGGAACGAAACTCATTGCATATCTAATCGACCACAATGCAGTATGCATCTTTCTAAATGATCAAATTATTGTACCGTTTATTTTCTCTATTTAGCTACAATGAAATAGTTTCATTATAGATTTCAATTTTTTTTCTTTACCAAAACAAAATATAATTATCGACCAAACGAAATCGAGTTTAGTGGCTCTTCGACGTACGCTATACTTAACGATTCAATCGAGTATTGATGCTGAAGAGTATGCACATAAATTACTAAAAATGAATTGCTGCCCTGGTCAAGAAGTAAGATTTCTTTTCTTTTGAAACTATTCAATTAAATCTATTTCGTAGATGGAATTATGTCAAATAATCCTCGATAGTTATGCACAACAACGAACATATGACTGACTTTTGTTTATTGAAGAAAGAATACGTTGAATGCTTCGAAAAAGTTTTTCAAGATCAATATGACATTGTTTATCGTCTTGAAAATGTTAAATTTTTCGCTCATTTACTCGTCACTGATGCTATTTCATGGGATGTATATATTTCCTTCTATTGTTTTCTAAATAATACGTTTCTATTTTGTTTTTCTAGATTCTTTGTTGTCTTGTATTAACTAACGAAGACACCACGTCGTCGTCTCGTGTTTACATGAAGAATTTATTTTTAGAATCAGCTGAATCCATTGGTATAACTCAACGTAATAACCGTTTAACGGATAGGTATGTTATTTAAAAATGATAATATGTAATAGCCTTTTTCTTTATTTTCTAGAACATTAGTGGAGTACTTTGATGGTTTATTTCCTCGCAACGATCCAAAAAAGACTCGATTTTCAAGAAACTCCTTCACATCGATTGGTCGTGGTGGTTTAACGTAAGTGTTTTTTTTTATTTTTGTTAAATATTGATTTAATATAATCGTTTATTTTACTTTCACTTTAGAGATGATCTTCGAGAATTCATCACAACAGATTCTTGCTAGAATTTATCGAACTAGCGGCCATATATCCATGCCATCGTGTCTATTCATGCATGGCATCTGCGTTATTTTTTGTTTTCCATGAACTTGTGATAATTTTTTTTGTGAAAGCTGTTCTTTTTCAAATAAAAAAGTTAAAATTAAATTTTATATTTTAATTTCACTATGTTACTGTAATATACTAATACATACAAGGAGCTATTTGTTTTTATTAATAATCTTAATAGAACATTTAATAAACTTGATGATCATCAACTAACAATATGGATTTGTGACCTATTATTAGTATTATTGTTAGCACGGGCATCAGCAACTGTTTGGTAATGATATTGTGAGAGTAATTGAATGGTTTCTTTGCTAAATAAATGCGAAAATATTTTTCGGAAAACAAGCCATGTTTCATTCTTGAAAATAATATGGTCAGATGTATTAGGTAAATGAATATCATCATAGAGAAGTATTGAATCGAATTCAAACGAAAGAAAGTTTTCTGACGGATTTAAACGATAACCTAATTTACGTTTATCAACATATGTATTGTGCGAATGTTGAGCTTGAAGTATTAATAAACTAGAAAAGGAAAAGAATATTCTTTTCTGAGCTTTTTCAGCAATGATGTTTCTTTTTTTCTACCTGAGTAATTTCTGATCAGTATCCCATTGTATCGTTCTTTTCAGGACATTTTTAGGTAAAGTTACATTCATTTTTTTTCTCAAACAGCATTCCATCATATCGACTGTTATATTTGCCGATAGACGACAGTTCTCCAATGGAGAGAAAATCATTTGCCATAAAGATTGTCTCATTCCAACATAAGACATTGGATAATAATGAATATGATAGTATTTTTCATACGAGAAATCCTCGTCTGGACAACAATATGCATTGACAGCAAGAATATAGTTCGTGTGATTTGTATGGATTTCAAAGCGATGCCGACTAATTGGTAATAAATCTGCATCGGCTACTAAAATAAATAAATCCTTTGTCGTATTATAGCCATATGAAATAAAACCGCCGAATAAGCGAATGATTTGACTTGTTGATATCGAACGTGATCGATCAACGTTAACAAAAAAATAATTCATTTTTAAGTCGTTTTTTAATAGATTAATTAGTAACATTTTTTTAAATATACTTTCAGAACCAACAAGAAAGATAAATGGTTCAAAACCAATACGACGCCATGCTAATGCTACATATGGCAAATAATAGCAATATAGAGCTGTGTACGAATCCGATGAACACGACAATAATACAATATTTTTATATAAAGATGAAAAATTACTTGGATATGAATGATGTATTAATGGTGGTAGTATAATTAGATTTGACTTTTCGTTTTGATATAAAATAAATTTAGAACTAACAAAAATAAGTAGTAAAAATATGACTATTGAATAAGTACATGTGCTATCTAAAAATAGATTCCAAAGAATGCTTTTTTTTATTAGAAAGATTACTTTCAATATTTAATCTACATACGCATCGGAGACCAATAATTTATCAATCAAGATGAATCATAATAGGTCAAACTGGTGGTTTTCCTTATGAATAGATCTATGAACATAGTAAATTCGAGAACAAAAAGAGACTTACATAAACCAGAGGAAAGAAACAAACCTATTGAGGATGGTGCCCGCGCCGAAGTGTTGATTTGTCGTTGTATAGAAACCGTTAGCGGCTGAAATGTCATGATCACGCTCATTGAAATCGACGATAATACAGGAAATTAAAAGAATCTATGACAGAAAAGAACAAAAAGCACGATGAGCTAAAAACAGTTTCATGTGAAAATTTAGAAAAACAAACTATCAATAAATAATTCATCACCAATTTGTTTTCAGCAAGAAACCAATCGTATGACTATCATGAATCTTCTGGTTAAAATAATTCATTAAAAATTAAAATCAGTGCTATTCAGAAATAAAAACGATGAAATCTGTTTTTTTCCCCTGATAAATAGAAATTCGATAAAAACTGCATGAAATGACTTTCATAATCGATTAAAGGAAAAAGAAATAAAGAGTTTGTTGAACCATCTTTTAGTTTTTTCTTTATCACCAATGATGCCCACACAAAGTTTCAATCAACAAAAATATTTTCAGGCAATTCTTTGAGTATTCTCATTCCAATTATGCACTGTTTTTTCTTCTGCATGTTGCGTTCAAATAATCTGTGCATGCGTAAATAATTCGTGAGATATATTTTGCTTAAAAAAGAATTAAAGCTCTAAAGGGATTTCTTGGTAAGTCAATTGTATGAATGTGTAGAACACGATATTGCCAAAGTGCATAAAGAATTTTCTATATTATAAACAACATGGATTATTGATGTGTTTAAGAGAAACAAAATAGAATGATCGTTAACACACAACCACTTATATTGGATAATAAAAACATTTCATGAATACATATGTGTTAGAGACAAGACTGTCCCGAACCATTCAGTTTTGAGAATGGGTAAAAAAAATGCTGTGTTAAAATAGAATTCTTACAATGCTGATTTATGTTCATTTCTATTTAATTGTTATAGCGGCTGCGTGTGCAAAATGACTATGATCGTGCCCTCTTGATTGCGGACGAAGATTTTGCACGCAATATAGAATCACTCAATTCTATAGATTTTAACCTTATATTTGGTTTCAACTTAAAGTTCATTCAGAAGAAGATGTTCGACATTGTCTTTATCATCAAGCAGATTAGGTTGTACCAATAAAAATCTCTCTCGATCTCTTTTAGTTTTTTCTGACGTGTCAATCAACATGTGAATGATGGCTGATTAGAAAAGAAGAAAAACATGCAATAAGATCAAATTGAAAAAGAAAAAAGTATATCGGTAACGAAGAATAAAAATTAAAAGAGATAAAACGAGCGCACATGTTTTAATAAAGAAAGACTTCAAAGTCTCTACATTAACTTGAAGCTTCTTTTCATTGAATTTAATTTTAGAATCGATCGTTTTCTATATCTAGGTTACTCGAATCTAATCGGGCATTCACCTGCATATATCGATTCAAATTCATGTCCATATAAAATAACGTCTTATTCGGAACACGAATCAGATAGGAACTAATTTGAATAATGAAAAACGGAAAAGATATCAAGTTTGATATTATCAATAATTTGTTTCTCTAGCTGTAACTGAAAAAAATTATTGAAATGAGACAATTCAGTCTTGCTATAACTTACGCAAGCTCTCGCTAAAAACTATACATAGAACTGTATTTGATTCAGCTTTGAAATCATAAATGTAGTTAATAAAATTAATTCATGGGACGATTCTGATATAAATTCTTATTTTTTTTATGGAAGATGTAATATGTGATCATTCTTCTTATAATTCCTTTAAAAATTTTATTGGATCCATCATTGAAATATTTATTATCCTTTACTACATCGATTATTAAAGGTAAAAACGTTCGACCTCATTGATCGTTCTTCTTACTTAATATACTAACGCTTTCCCTATACTAAACATAAGAGCTTTTCACTTCACGGTTAGAAATAATTTATTGTTTAGGAGGTAGTCTCAAGGAATTTATTCCGTGAAAAGAATTTTTCAATCAGAACATTGAATCAAAATTTAAAAGAACCGCTCTGTTCTCGATAGAACCTCTCAATTTTCATCGTATATGTCGACCTGACGCACTTGATCAAAGGTTCGTTCTCCGATAGAAGAGAATATGTCTGACAAACTCATTAAAAGCGTATCTAAAGTTCAAGGATTTTGTTTCTTTTTAAAATCACTTATTTCAATGTCTTTAAAATATATATAGAGCAATTATTGAAAAATGTTCTTTGAATAGAAACAACATGAGTATTTATCTTTCTTACATTTGAATCAAACATACAACAGCTTATTATGAAGTAAACCAAAATTATATGTAGACTTTTTTTCGCTGTAGCTGTTGTAGTACTTATCACGTAAGAATACAAAGATAAGCGTAGATGTTTTGAATTTGAAATGATACCTAATCGAACAACGAGTAGAATACAATCAAAATGAGATGTCACGTGTTTGTTACTTGATAATCAATATTTGCTAATATGAGTCGTCGTTGTACGACTGATATGAAAGGAAACATTTCATCGTTGTCTCAGGCTACTCTCTATCAACATTATTTTTATTTCTAGTGAAAAGAAAAATTTAGGCAGAAACTGATTCAGAATCTTAACTTATAATATAATATGATGAGAACAACTCAGACCTAGCGAATCACTTTATGAATAGAAGTGTTAATTTGATGAGAGACGAATCTAATGATTAATAGAATATTCTTTATTAGAAATTTGCAAGTACCTTGAACAGTTTTTAGTAAATATAAAATAAATAATAACAAGTTGTACTATAAAACTTGTGATCTTTTAGAAATTAAAGGTGAAAGCTGTTTTTCGGAACCAGAAAAAGGCCAATAGAAGTCGTAGCATTTATGAATATCGCTTTGCATAGAAGTAATTATTCATTCCTTTTCAAGGATTTATAATTTTTTTCTCAACGTGAAATACTAAAACAGCATTAGTTGACTTTAAATTGATTGTATCGGTCAAACGAAACAAGTTTTTTCTGTTTTTGTACGATCTACTACATGAATCTTGTTCTCTTGAGTCAAACCACCATGGCCCTCTATCGATTAGCTTATTTCTATTAGTTACTCTATCTTGAACCAATCCTGTTTGAACAATTTTTTTACGATATGTCATCCTTTGTTCGATTACCACGCAATTTATCAATGGCTGAAAATAATTCTGAAGATAATATTGAAGATGAAGGAGCTCGTCATCGTCGTGAACGTCGGGAATTACAAGCAACAATTCAACAACTAAAAAAATCTGTTAATAAAAATGATAAAACAAGAAAGAAAAAGATCGATAGCGATATTAAAGCTTTAGAAGAAGCATTTGAAAAACGATGGGAAAATTTTGATGAAAATTCAACTCCAGAGAAATCGAGCGTAGCTCCTACTTCTACTCAATCAGATGAAAAGTCTACTGAAGTTTGTCAAAAAGAAAACTTTCCTATTCAAAAAAGTGCACCGAACTTTTGATTTTATAGACTGAAAAACAAAACGTATCACGTAAAGCACGTCGTTTGGCAAATAAAGAAAAACGTCAAGCTGAACTTAATGAAAATCAAGAAATTGTAGATTATGATAATCAACCAGAATCCATTCGTCGTCGTAATGAATCATCATCAATAAATGAACAATTACTTCAACGTGGTCTTGAACTTCAACCTATTGTATCTGATGGAAATTGTCTATTTGCTTCCATTGTTGATCAAACATCAGATTTAAATGTACGACAATTACGTGAATTGATTGCTGAATATTTACGTAAACATCGAAGTGACTATGAACCATTTATTGATACGGATTATGATGCGTATTGTGAGAAATTAGCAAAAGAAAATGTATGGGGTGGACAAATTGAATTACAAGTATGCGCAAAAATATTACAAAAACCCATTGAAATCATTCAAGGAACTGGTGGCGAACCGATTAAAATTGATTGTCCATCATCAATATTAGAATCACCTATTGTTATAACCTATCATCGATATTTATATGCTAATGGAGAACATTATAACAGTACAATAAAAGTTCACGAGAAGGACGATGAATAAATGAAAAAACACAAAAAAATGAAGAAAATATCATGTTTGTTATTCTTCTATTTTATCTTTTAGATGAAGATTATTATTCATTGGGGTAGAGTATTGGGTCTTTTTATTGCAATACTAGTTGGTTGCATTGCAATTATATGTTTTAAATTATTCAATAAATCCGATCCATTCCATGATCAAAATATTGGTCAGTGTGATATGTACGAAGCTCAAACAATTATTGATAATCTTGTATGTTGTTATTTCTATTAAATATTCTTTTGGACAAGATATTGAATTTTTTGAAACCGACACTCTGAGAAGAGTTCTCTAAACAGAAATCAGTTTTTTTTCAAAACTTTAAATAAATATTACGATTATCAGCTGTAGAATCTTTGTCTCTTCTTTGGATATTACTGAGTTTTCAATATCATGAGAATCAGTAAGAGTCTCAGCACACGGAATAAAACTTAAACTAGTTGTGTATGTGGTATTTTCACGGCTCGCCAACGAGTACATCTTGAATAACTAAATTCTTTCTAACATTTATTTTTCGTACATTTATTCTTTATTTAATTCTAACCTATTTAATTTAAGTGCATTTTAAGTAAAAATATAGCGCATTTCGAACAGGCAGAATCACAAAGAAGAAGTTTTTATTCAATGCAGAAAAAATGGAATGCAAAGTGTGCGATCTAGTAGTATCCGAGTTTTACTGCATTATTTGTGATTACTATCTTGACCAACATTTTCTTTGCTAAAATAATTCCGTCTATGAAAATCTAAGATATTAAAAGACTGACACTAATAATTCATTCGTCGCAAATAATTTTCCCGTAGAGATATTCAATTTTTGATCGATTGGACACGCAGCGTTTTTAAGGATGCCGGGTTACGATAATTGAGCTATGTATTTCTGAGTTCATTGGTATGCGTGATTTCTTTTTCATTCTTTCCTTACATCTGAACCTAGATTACCATTCAGATTATTTCTTTCTTCGCCGATTGACCTACTTACATTTTCTATTTTTTTTATTCGATCACGTTTACGCTTGAATTAGAATGTAGCTAGAGCAATTTAAAGAAGATAAAATCAGAATTCGATGGCGAGAGATTTATTCGATTTCGAATGCTTTTGGTTACACAATGACGAGACATTCGCGTGTTCAGTGGATATTGTAGTACATTGGATTTTGAATGAATATCGAAATCAAAACCAGGAAAAAGTAAGATTTCAAAACAAATTATTCTTTGTTGAAATCTTCAATTTGTGAATAGGAAAACAATTTTATTGCCGAAGACACGACCATTCGTTAAATACCTATCATAACAAACTAGCCATTAGTCGAAAGCCAGAACTTTTTTTTATGGAACATTCATAGCTCATTTCATTGTATACCGCACACATAGTGTAAATGCAAAAGCAAGTGAAAGCAGTATCACACTAGAAAACTTACCTTGGAATTGCTAGAATATCCATGAAAGTTATTTTTAAAGAATGCAATTGACGTACTTAAAACTAGAAATATATCATTGCGCTATGGTTTATGAAATACTAACTGTCCCACATATTTCTAGACTGTTCTCCTTACTCCTAAAAAGATGCGATAAGCCTACTCGCGAGCATCTCTATTAGTTTTTATATATTTATCTATATTTTAGTGTGAATTATATTCTCTTGGTCAAGTGTCCGGTTCTCATTGTTCATCATTGTGTAATATAAATGCAACATTAACATTGGCACAATGTTTGTCATTATCTCAATCGAAAATAGTATTACTCATGTCAACCAATTCATCGTCTTATGTTGTATTAAAATCTACACGTCGTTCTTTTGATTATGATCCAAGAGATTTATTATTTCAGAATACAATCGTATCAATACCATCAGCTCTTTTAAGATTTTACGATATAATCAATTCAACATTAGAAAGACATATGGGTATTCAAATAGAGAATTTAAAAAATGAAGATTTAATACGTCGTTTATTTCGTCATGATTATATTGAAAATCCATCGATTTTATTAGAGAAATTCGAAGAAATTAAAGTTAATTATAATGATTACTATGAACATAATCTTGCATTATCATTAACAACAGAACTCAATACGCTTTTTTCATTAATAACACAACATGAATTTTTACTTTCACATTATTATCGTTCAAAACTTGAATTAATGCCAAAAATCATTGGATGGTGTGGTCATGTTTATTTAACAGAACATTTAACGCCATTAAATCATCCCATGATTGAAGAACAATTAAATTCTGACGCATGGATACCAAAAGCTTGGTTAGCTAATCGTCTTCTTCAACTTGTTGATAGTTTTGATAATGAACTTCATGCTCCACTTCATTTATGTGATCTTCGTAAGTAAAATATAGTTCGTTTAGTTTTCTTACTACAATCAAATTCGTTTAAATGAATATAATGTAGCCTATAACTGATAAATAGTATCTTCGTAGTTTCGGATAATAGTTTAGACTTGAGAATTTCGTTGCAATAATGTTGGCAGCTCCGATCATAGTAGATTTAACGAACAGGGCTAAATCAAAATTTATTTTATTTAATAGGCTCTACTGTTTATCTATGATTTGACTATGTCGAATAGTAGAGATGAATCATTTTTGACAAGAAAATAATTCGAGATAACTATTAGATCAATTAGATGACTTTAATTTATTGCTCATATCCATTTTTAAAGTATCTGCTTTTGTGTTTGAATATTATTTATTTATTCTATGTTTAGAATTATCTAATTTCGGTATAAGTGAAAGTGGTAATGTAAAGTTACTTGATGTAGATATGGCATATTTTGATCGCTTAATTCCATTAGATCCGGCCATAAAATGTCGTAGACATTCCGATTGTTCATTTTTCGACTGTTCAGGTTATTGTGATAAACGTAAACGGCGATGTCATGCGAATCGTCGTATAAACAATAATTTACAAGTACTATGCGCAAAAGTACTTACAAAATTATTAAAAGCTGATACCATCCCATCACGATTACACGACGTAATTTTGTCGTATGTTAAACAATGTACATCACCACCGGGTCGTTATAAAGGATCAAGTGAATTAAGAGTTGGCGCATCGCCACGTTTACTGCGTGCAATGCAAGTGATGCTTATTGGTGAATTAAGATCTGCTAATATAACTTCGTGTTTATCTTAAAAACTAATGATAGAATAGAATGGTTTTTTTTCCGTAGTGCAATTAATCATAGAAATTTAACGAGACTCAATATTTGCTAATTGTATGTGAGAATCTTCTTTTTCTTTGGCAGTGATCGATAAATCATTCCACGTTTTTCTGTTTTTCTTGTCAGATAAATTGTATTATATTTGATCTTTTCAGATAAAAACTGTTTCGAAAAAAAATCTATGGCTGCCGAAGGAGTAGAACGATATGAAATAGAACGTATTGTTGATAAACGTTATAGAAATGATAACATAGAATATTTTATTAAATGGCGAGGCTATCCTGATAGTCAAAATACATGGGAACCTTGTAAGAAGAAAAGAATTTTATTAAAATAAATGATATTTTTTTCTTTCTAAATAGCAAGTAATATTCAAGGTGAAGAAGAATCAGAACTACTTGCTGAATATGAAGCACTTGCTAAACGTCAACAACAGCAGAAAACATACAATTCAGGATCGCGATCAACAATGAATAATTTCTCGCCCAATAAACGTCGACAGGTGATATTATAAGCAAAAACAAAAAGAAAATTAACAAGAAGCTTGATTATTTATATTTAGGATGAAATGATAAATAATAATTTAAAAAAACGACCATTATCAACAAATCATATTCAATCATCCAACACTCCGACTGGTTTCGAAAGAGGATATGAAGCTGAACGAGTCTTAGGTGCAACTGATTCAGCTGGCGAACTTATGCTACTGGTTAAATGGCGTAATTCGGATGAAGCCGACCTTGTACCTGCACGCATTGTCAATGTTAAATGCCCTGGCCTTGTCATAGAATTCTATGAGCAGCATTCGTTTTGGTCTCGCTTACCAAAAATAAATCAAACTAGTGGATCTACAATACGATAGATTTAAATCAGACACTTTTGTTTTGTATATTTATGTTTCTGTTTCATTTATAAATGTTAGACGATGCTGGTCATAATTTGTCAAAAAAGTATTGAATATGTTTTTGACTTCTGTAACTTGAAACAAATATTGCATATAGTATTAGTAAATATATATGTACATATATATTTGATACGTGTCTGGTTAAAACACATAGGTAAAATATTTCAGAAACTTATTGATGATTATTCTTCTCCTAGCTAATAAGTTTTCATGCATAAACAAACGTTAATGGCAACGACTTTATGCTGAAGAAAAAATAACCAGAATTTTTTTTAAAGATATGACATTACTTGAATACTAAGGCATAAGATTACTCATTTCTAGTTAAATATTTTATTTTTCTCGCAGCCTATATTTACTATTGGTGCATGAGATTTACTCATTTTTAACAATCTTTTTCTGTTAAAAGTACATAGCCTTCAAAATTTGTCCATGGACACATGACGAGGTCATGGAACTCATAAAATTATTTCTTCCATCATTTCCACTGCTAACATTGATTCAACTGAAGTCGAATAATTTTCTGTTCTCTTTTTTTCGATGGCATAATAAGGGGTTACACGCCTGTCGTTCTTTTTCCATTTTCGCACAGTTTGCTTGTTCGAATAGAAGAAAAGAAAAGAAGTAGAGAATACACTTTCAACCTTTGAGTGACTAATAGAAGGACATATAACATACGAGAGAATTTCGATTTACTTTACAAATCAACAAATGGCTGCTGGTGGCGTTAATAGTTCTTCATCTGAAATCAATGTAGTTATTATTGGTGAAACAGGCAGTGGTAAGAATTAAACGTCAGAAGATATAATGAGAAGATCTAAGATAAATGTTTCATTCGAAAGAGTTATTCTCTCTTATCACGATAGACAATCAAACGAATAGATTTTAGAGTAATCATCATTAGAATCATAGAAACTATTGTCACATAGGTATCGACCTACTTTAATATGTTATAATCCGCACAACTTATGAGTAATACAAATGAATCTATCATCAAAACCCTAGATTCTATTACTAATCAATCTGTCTACTTCAATAAACAGAACTGAAAAAATTCGAATTGTAGCTATTTAGTTTCTGTTTGCAGAACCAATCATGAAAGCAGATTGCATGACATTTTTTGAAAGATTTCTCTCCGAATAAATTCTAATTATATACGAGTTGTTCGGATCAATGTTATTTATCGTTTCAAGCATCTTAAATAAAAATCCATATTTCAATTTCGACTGAAAAATAAATATAAACATTCTTAGGTAAATCAACGTTTATTAATTATTTAACAAATTTATTTTATAATGGCTCATTGACAAATCTGAAAGTAGCCATACCAACACGTTACTTAAAAGCTAATATGTCTTCTGCGATGCCTCAACATCATGAAAATTGCATAGATGATATTACACGTAGTAAAACAAGTAAATGTACAAGATATACATTTACTGTTGAGCAAGTTCATTTTAATTTTTTTGATACACCTGGTATCAACGATACCGGTGGTTATCTATCTGACAATGAAAATGTTGATCGAATATTTGAGTGTATACAAACATTACAATATTTGACTGCTCTTGTACTTGTTCTAAACGGTACACAAGCACGTTTAACAGTTAATATAAAAAATGTTCTTGAGCGTTTTCGTGATCGTATACCTGATATAATTTATCGAAATACAATTATTATATTGACCAATTGTGCATCTCATACAGTTAATTTTGGTTCAGTTAAGTTATTAAATCATGCACCCGTATTTTATATGCAAAATTCAGCATTTTCATCCGATGCTCAAGCATGGACATATCAAACACGTGAAATACTGCAACGTGATTGGATTGTGTCAATGCAAACAATGAATGATTTTATTAAAAATTTACTCACATTAACACCGGTATCAACAGAATCATTGTCAGCTATGAATGAGGATCGAAATGCTATACGTAGCGTTTTACATGAAAGTCGTCTTATGATTATGGAACTACAACATATTGAAGATGAAATGACGGCACTTGAACAAGCATCACATATATATTCAGCGAACGTAGAAAAATATGCATCGGCTAGTGGTCAGCCAACGAAATCAATTCAGGTTAGTTAATAAATCAAGATGAGAGAGATAGAGAGAGAAGTAATATTCAAGAGGCTAATCAAAGATAGTCTTGTTAATTCAGCCTAGTTTCTACTAATTGTAATTCTGAATGAGAGGAATACTGACCTTACTCGTAGTTCTCTCGTTCAACGTTTACCATCATTTCATAGTTAATCAAGCTAAGACTAGAATAAAGTTCTTTGAAAATAACCTAAATAATCACTGAACCATTGCAGCTAAATAATTTAAAATTAGAAATGATAATGGTAATATTTTCAAATTTGACATGCAAAAACTTATTTTAGGTAAACGAAATCATTGCAACATCATATCACAATACAATATGCTTAAAATGTAATACTGTTTGTCATGAACGATGTTCATTAACAGAAACAACACGAATTGGTGAACGTTTGTTTCGACGTTGTACAGTTATTGTTAATGGTCGATGCACTGTATGTGCTGGCAAATGTTCTTATGATATACATTATCATGATCGACGTCTTATTAAAAGTGTTCCGAGAACATTAAAAGTAGCTATATCATCTATGGCAAATAAATATACAGAAGCACGAAACGATAAAGCAGCTTGTGAAACCAAATGTGAAACAGTTCAAGAAACAAAACGCGTCATTGAACAATCATTGCAGGAACAATTTACAAAAGTACGCGATGCATGTTTACGTGTGAGAAGTAATTGTCAAGGATTTAATGTAGCTGAAGAATTATGTATGTTTGTTAATTTCCTTAAAAACGATATGAGTTCATTGAGATCAACATCGGTTGTGAAAAAGGCAAAAAAATTTGTTGAAAAACTTGAAACTCTTTCAAATGAATTGCAATATGATGATTCTTTAATATCAATAATTGAACAGCCATTATCATCAATAGCAACACATGCGGCAATGTCACCTCCACTTGCTGCCAAGCGAAAACCAATCAACAGTAACAGCAATACTCATAATCATAAACAACCATTAAAAGCATCACAACTTCAATCAAACTCAACAGTGGTTAGTACCATAGACATTATCTAAAAGTCAGTTGATATTATTTCATTTTTGACCGAATAATAGAATGAGGAAACGATTGTAACTAATACGTCACCAACATCATGTATAATCACGCAAGTCGATCATATTCTAAATGGATCATTCAATTCATTGAATGTCATCGGGGATGTTACATCAACTGAAGAGGATGAACAACGAAGAAAAAAAGTGCCGACTATTGTTATGCAGGATTCATTTCATCGTAGTCAACCTGTTCAACAACAAGCACCAACATCGGATTCGGTGAATAATCGCAAACATGCCGAATATTCAACTGAGCGTCTTGTTACTTTAAGTCATGAGTCAACTGACGAATATAAATTAATTGGAAAAGAATTAAATCGACGCTGTGCTGGTACATCTGTCGGTTACTTGCCGCCAACACAATTGGCTCAATTATGTGAATATTATGCTTCATCTAGAATGTTACAATTGGACGAACTTGCTCGTGTACATACACAACTTCAATCAGACGTACAACAATTAACTGACCATGATCCATTTGAAATACTTTCTGTGCCTACAGATAAACTTTTACATTTAGCTGCTGTTACACTTTGTTTACATACTGCTACTAAACATCAATAAGCAGTTCATTTGCATTTTCTTTGTCTTCTGTATTTTAGATTATTATTTTGTCGTCTACGTGAATTTCAAATCAAGTAATCCTGTAATGGCAACTACTCATTATATAAGAGACACGTTATCAGATGCTATGAGTCGACTTCGTGCTGGTGGTAATCAAAGTACAGCGAAAAATGATGAAACTAATGATACGCGTCATCTTTCACTTGATACATCGAATATAGCAAAGGTATTAGTTATCGGTGAAACAGGCAGTGGTAAATCGACATTTATTAATTACTTAACGAATTATTTTCGTGGTGGTTCATTACAAAATATTAAAGTTGCTATACCATCAAAATATCGACCAGTAATTACAGAGCAATTTGCACATTGTGAAAATAATATAAAAGATACAACGCAATCAAAAACTGATATGTGTAATCAATACATATTTATTGATCATGCGAGTCCTTCTCAAAGACAATATCTATTTCTTGATACACCTGGTCTATCGGATACACGTGGAGCTGAACAAGACAATATTAATATGAACAAAATTGTCGATGGTGTAAGTGTTTACTGGAATAAATAGGATACTACGATTTTACGATTCTTTTTTTTTCTATAGGTCGAATCACTAGGTGGTCTATCAGCAGTCATCATAGTTGTCAATGGTACAACAGGACGTCTTACATTGAATCTTCGAAATGTTATTGCACGTCTTCGCGGCAATCTACCTGATGTTGTTATGGATAATGTTATTGTTGTTTTGACTAATGCAAAACGTCATGAAGCTAATTTTAATATATCATCTCTTCAATTACATGGTACTGTTTATCCATACTATATGCAAAATTCAGCTTTTTCTCAAGATTCCAACGCATGGGATCAAGCAGCACTTGATGCATTACAATTTGATTGGGATGCATCAATGGATGAAATGAAACGAATGATTGAAACAATTGATACATTTAAAACAAAATCTGTTACAGCATTCAAAGATATGAAAGATATACGTAATGCAATAAAAGCGCTCATGCATGAAGCACGATTAGAAGTTTCACAAATACAAAAAATGCAAGATGAATTAGCTGCATTTGAGCATGCACTTAAACAATACAAGACAGATGAAGTAACATATAAAGATTATACGCGTGAGCGTGTTGTTGAAACAAAAGAATTAGTCGATACAAAGTATCATTCAAGTAAGTACATATATATAGTTAAGTAATTTATTTGGTAGCAGTCTAGAACGTCCATGCAAAAATGTCCTTTACGAAATGTCCCTGGGATTTGGTCCCTGGAAAAAGTCCTTTAGGCAAAATGTCCTTGGTAAAAAAATGTCTTCGGAAAATGGTTCTTTCTGGTATAGTCTTTCGAAAAACTGTCCCCCATGGTCAAAATGTCCTTTCAGTAAAATAGAAGCAATGGTAGTCAATAATGTTAGAAATGCAGTTTAGTTTATTATAACGGATTAAATTTCATCCTATTTTTCATTCGCGACAAAAAAGAAAGTCCATGTAATAGATCTCGCAGTTTAATCTGGGTATTGTTGAACCGATCATATAATTCTTTGATTCGTTGTTCAGCAATTCTGAATTTTGATAGTTGCGTGTGTATGCGAGGGTATTGGCTGCTCAACTTTTTAAATCTGGCGTAAGATCTTGAACACTAGATAAGATCATACAAAAAAAAATCGTTGTTTATGGAAGCTTCCATCAGTTCGTACCATCAGATTCTTGAAAGATCTTGCTGTATTGTAAGATATGACTACAAGATTTTAGGAAATCTTATTCAGTATTAAGATCTTTCACGAATATTATGGTACGTGCCGATCTAAAATTTCTGAGACGACGACTTTTTGCTTGATCTTACAAGATCATACAAGATCATAATTTTGACAGGTCTTAGTATATGATTGTTCGCCTGGGTGTTGAGTGTGGATACGAGATGTGAGTGTGCAGTGTAACTGTGAACAAGAATATAGCAATACCAGACCCACAACCACACCCCACACTTCCTCTTCACGATGAATACGGATACGACATATCAATTTCAATTTTGAGCAATTTCAATTTTTAGAGTTCGTCGAAATTTGTTGGAATAGGAATTGGTGCATCTCGAACGACGAAGGACATTTTCATACAAAGGGCCATTTCCCAAGGACATTTTTTCAAGGACTAAATTTCAGGGACACTTTTTCCGAGGACCAAATCCCAGGAACATTTTTTACAAGAACATTCTAACCTGTATTCATTTATTTTACACATTTTAAATAGTAATATTAATAAAATGAAATAAAACTCTCATATATTGATATCTTAATATTCTATATATCCTACTTATTTTCATAATAGCTGTGTGCCGAAAATGTGATCATGTTTGTCATGATAAATGTGGTCTTAATGAAACAACAACACACGGCAATCGTATATTTCAACGATGTTGGGCTATGTCACCTGAAGGTCAATGTTATATATGTCCAAGTCATTGTCTCTATACCGAACATTATCATGCACGTAAAACAATGAAAGTGAAACAACAAAAATTACAAGATGTGCTTCATGATATCAAAGCAAAATATGATTTAGCATCACGTAATAAAACAGATTTTCAATCACGTATAACAACAACACATGAAGCAAAGAAGATGTTAGAACGTGCATTAAAACAAAAACTAGAAGAAATCAAACATAAATGTGCTGAATTACGACGTATATGTAGTGGTTTTAATTTAGCTCAAGAATTATATGCACTTATTGATCAACTTAAAGCTGAAGCAATGATGTTACGAAATATTGAAGCTAAACAACAAGCTGAAGAGTTTATTCGTAGTTTAACTGAATTTTGTCGACAATTAGAAACGGATCAACTTGCAAATCAAGTTCTGCCACCAATGCGTCTTGTTGATACATATACGTCAAAGCCGTTTCGTTCATCAACAACAGCATCTAGTACAATACCAGCAACTTCATTGGCAACATCATCTTCAGAAAATACACCAAATTTAAATACGAGTGTACTTGATTTGATAACTAGATTGAATAAATCTAAAAAAGCAATGCCATCAACATCTGAAGAAGACGATGATAATCATGATCATGAACAAATTGGTGATGATGATGATGATGATGATGACGATAATGAAAATACACGTGAAATGCCGCCTACATCAGCACGTTCAACACGCCATCTTCATCATCACACAGATAACGATGACGACGAAATTGGCTCAATAAATGATCGTCGAAAACGACGTCAACTATCAACTAATAATAATCATAACAATACTTCTTTACAACAACAATATGCATCATTGACTACAACAGAACTTGTTCATCGATATACGGATTGTAAAGATGCACGAAAGTCCAATGCAATTCTAACTGAACTTAATCGTCGTTCACAAGGAAAATCAACTGGTCCACTTGTTTCGTCAACTGAAATTGGTACATTTGCACGATATACACAATTATACAGTACACAAGATGCGCCAACATTAAGTCATTTATATTTACAACTTCAACAAAGAATTTCAAATATGACTGAACCAGATATACTTAATATTAGTCGTGTACCAAGTGATCTTTTACTTGAAATTTCTGCTCTTTATACTCTTATTGCACAAAAAAATCAACAACAACAACAAGGACAAAATTTTGATGGAAATTTCGCTAACGAATCAGCATTTGAACGACCACCTGATCATATTGCATCATCAATGATGATGAAAATGTCGACACAACCTTCTCAAACATCTATGGGATATATGTCATCTCCTTTAAGTCATCATCCAGGTGGAGCAATAATAACAACATCAACACCGAATACGTTTTTTAAACCTATTCAACCAACAAATCTGAACAACGGCAATCCTCAGCCAACTTCTCCACAAACACCACTCTTTTCTGTACCAACTTCGACACCTTCGCCTCAACAACAATCTTCTCTTGGATTTTCAGGTTTTACAGGTATGATCATTATATTTAGTTTGTTTGTCGAATTATATAATTACTGAAATACCTACCGACCTATAGGATATCATACGAGTAGTGCTGATGGTAATATTTCATCACAATTTCAATTTCAAAACCCTCCACCACCATTTGTTCCATCCACTTCGTCCTCCTCCTCCTCATCATCATCAACAACAACTGCCATGCCAATTTCAACAACAATACGATCTGATAGATCAGTAACGGACTCACCATTTACATTCATATCTCCATCATCATCATCAGGTCCTATTGAATCAACTTTTGCATTTGTTACACCTACAGCAACTGCAACAACAACAACGAATAAAGATGAATATACTATGATAAATTTAGCACCTCTACCAAATATAATGACAGATGATGATTTAACTAATCCGACTATATTATCAAATGTTGATATAACAAATTTGTTAACTTTATATAATGATGCGAAATTATCGAATAAAAATGCACAATTATTTGCTATTTATCATGAACTAGAACGTCGTTGCACTGGTGCTAATTGTAATCAATTGATAAAAGATTATTCAGCTGTTTATGAAACAAAATTAAATGAACATGCACATAAAACAGTATCGGAGTTGAAACAAACTTATGCCAATATACAGCAACAAATACGCATACGAACAAATAATGATGCAACGCGTATTAATGATGTACCTAAAGAATTACTCATTGAATCGGCAGCACTTTTAGCAACTATTAAACAAAAAGACATTTAATATATATTTTACTAACTATAGATATATCTTGATTATTTGGTTCTATTCTATGATAATTATCAGTTTATTTTGTGTGAATATTGGTCCTTTCTTTTCTCTTATTATTCTTTTTTATAAAATTATCATTTTTCTTTAGAAATAACAAATAATCATATCTATTCTATATTTACATAAATAAACTTCAAAATCTATATCAAGTTCATCCTCCATGGTGATTCAGTTTCATTAAAACGAGGAAAATCACTTGAGACGGTATATTTCATAAACAGTTGGATTTATTCTATTCGGCATCTTTACTTTTTCTAAAAGTTTCCGATGATTTTCATTCTCTTCTCTTTAAAAACTTATTTTCATATTTTCTTTTTGATGCCACGTCCCGAAGCTCTAGAATAAAAAACTCCATTATAGTCGACTGCTTTTCTTTTCTTTTCTTTTTTCTTTTTATAAAGAATGTGACGCTACAATGCCTGACAGAGCCTATTTTTTTAAGAATTAAGCCTTTTTATTATGAATAAAAATGCACGTCAGTAAGTTGATGACGGCATTTTGAAATTTTTTCTTGGTATCGGTATTTTCATTGTTTCAATCAGCGTAAGAAATAAAACTTTGTCAAATGTTAAACTTCATTATAGTCGTTCAAAAATATAAATAATTCAAACATTTAATATGAAAAATTGTAGAAAATACAAGATTATTCAAATACAGTATTTTGCTTATTTTTTACAAGAGTGCCTCTCAAGAACATCATGATGTAGAGCTGAAAATTACATAGGAAACATGAGTACAGTTTCCGTGTAAAACAAGAAAATAAAATTCAAAAACATAGCTTTACAAGTAACATAAATTCAAATATTTCATTATCAGTTTCATATTTACTCTCTTAAAATCGATATTTTTTTGAATCATAAAAATATTTTTGTTAGCACTCATTAATTAGAATAAAATATAAGTAAAAATAAATCATGTTTACTAATTACCAACCATACGATAGTTAACATTAAAATAGTGCAATAAATATTAGTGTTAAAATGTTATAATTATAATTATTATTATTTTGTATATTTTTCAATATCACCAGAAATAATATTTATAGGAGAACAAAATAAAGCAAACAGAAAAAAAAGAGACATGATCTATAAACATATTGTCAATGATAAAGATTTCTTGTTAATCTCGTCCTCTGTAATTCCTGAGTGCGTCTTTCTCGTCGTGCTATGGGTGTTTCGCCTAATTTCAATAATTGTTGCTGTGATCCAGCATTTGTTGGGCTCAATGAGCTGTTTAACAAAGCACTATTAGTAGCAGTAGTTGGATCTATGAATAAAACTATTTGTTTTTATTGAAATCTATTGAAATATTTTATTTTACCTGCTAACGATAGTAAACTACTAGCTTGTGCTATAGGTGGTAAAATTAAACGTTGTTCCAGTTGACGATGTTGAACCATTGATCTACATAAGAAATGTCATTTAAGTAAAATCTCAGTAAGTAAAATAATAAAAGCAAGCAAGTGTATATGTGTAAAGCAATGAAATATGGTATAACATCAATGATCAGCTATTTGATACCTCGGTACATTTGTGTGAGGCGGCGAAAGATTAAGACGTCGAAGAGGTAATTCACTGTTTATTGAGATTAATTCAGGTTATTTTATTATCATAAAGAAAAATTGAATAGAATAGAAAAAAATAATACATACTGTCGAAGTGATAAGCCTTTTCCAGCTGTTGATGATGAAGCAATAGATCGGTGTTGTAGTGGATTCTGTGGCAGTTGATTTCCAATACTGAATGATGTATCGATTGGTGTTGTTGACATTGCTATTGAATTTTCGCTGATACTTGTTGATGCTAAACAATCACGAACAAGTGTTTTCGATGTTGAACTTAATCGTTCAGCCTGAAGTATTTCACGCAATACAGCTCGTAATCTTGCGATCTAGATAAATAAATTTCAAGAAAAAAGTTGTTTATTATTAAAAGCACCCATAAGAAAAATAAAGCAATTCTTCAAGCAAAGAAAATCGTAATAGAAAAATTACTTCAAGTACTTGTTGTCGTTGTTTGTCATAATAAGTTTGCATTAAATGTTGATAGTCAGCATCATTCATTGATGCCTGTTCTGGATTACTGATTGTATTATCATTAGTATTAATAGAATGCGTTATGTGTATCTCAGATGATATACTTCGAGTGAAAAAAAGAAGAAGAAAAATTATTTTTATTTATAGACAATATGATTAGCATTTTCTATAGATTGTCTCTATTGCATGGGTAATAAAAAAAAAGTTCGTGAAGGGCGATTCTGATTCCCTGACGAAAAGTGCAAACTTTACCCACAAGCTGGATAAGACACTCGATAGCAACTGATAAGAATGTCAACATACAATCGTCTTACGTTTTACTAGAAGCAGACTAAAAAACTTGACCATTAATATCTTTTTTTATTCTTCTATGATTGAATGGTGTTAAACGAGCGATCATGTTGCATAGTAAATATGAGAACTTCAAGTTTTTAATTTGTAGATTGACTGAATTTTGCATACTATCAAAAGTGAACTGTTTATCTTAATGTTTATACAGGATCAAACATGTGCTGTAGAACAGCTGACTTGATCTGGAAAAAGATTAAAGATAAACATTTCATTTTGCTGAGAGTACAAGTGACAAGTGTTGTCAATCTGAAAAGAATTAATTTTTATATTGAATTTATCAAAGACAAAATAATAATTTAACTAATTATTATCTGGCATATCTGCAAATGATAGATCGTTTCAGACTATTTAATCTTCCTAGTGTTATTTTTGAGGGGACAACATGAAGACTGTTGTGATCTATCTTACAAACTATTTCAAAGTGAAATATAAGACGACGATAGATCTACGAGGTTATTCGAGTAGTATCCTTTTATTTTGCTTGAATTACTTTGGATCTGGTAGTAAAACTGGTACAATAGATGAAGATGCCTGCGGTATTTGAAACGATGATGCTTGATTTAATTCATCGATAGTACGCATTAAATATTCATTCTTTTGTTCAGTTTCGATTAATCGTGTTTGAAGTTCATTAATTTGTTGTTCAAAATGAATACGTTGCACTTCTTGTAGACGTTTTTCTGATTTAAAATAAATAAATAATATTAAATTGGTTTGAAGATAAAGCTTTGGAAAAAAAACTCAATCGAGTGAAAAAAAGCACAGTGAAATACAAGCAACGCATTGGAAATGCAACTGCAAAATTCTCCTTTCGTTTCCTACCACCAGACTGAACTATGATTGTTTCTATAATTGAAAATTACTGATTTTCAAATTTCTGATCGGCATAAATACAAAATAAAAAGAATTCTAATCTCTTTTACTTCATACCAAGCACAGGTTCACTTTGTGTTAGGTCATTGATTTGCTGAGTATTGGGCGCAATACTAGATTTCCGTTGTTTGCTTCGCGATGATGTTGATGATGGACGAATATCGATCATACGAAAATGAAGATCTAAGTAAGTTTTCTTTTTATAATTATCTATTAGCACGATAGCGGTAAAGTTACCTCGATTTTCTTGTTGAAGTCGAGCAATTTCATTGTGTAAATCATTCAAAGTGATTTCATGTTGATGTTGAACATAACGAAGGTTTCGCTCAAGCAGTTCAACACGTGAACGCGGATCGACGGTGGGTGTCGGTGAAGGCGTTGTTGATGATGATTTAATTGTTGCTTCATCGCTTATGTGTACCAAAGATGAATTTTTTCTTATAACAATACGAGACGCAACCGGAGCCGGGAAACGACGTGCTGTTGGTTTTGACATATCACCATCACTGTCGCCAGGTGACTGAAGTGCATGATGATGAAGCGCTGATACACGCTCATCGACAAGCGATTGTCGAATCATCTAATGATAAATCATTAAAATATCAATAAAATAAACTTAAGTCTAAAGTAAACAAATTCAATGTAACGTAAATTAACTGACAGAACAACCATAAACTGTTGAGCGTACCATGGAAATCGTAGAGAATATGGACGAAGAAAAGATGGCGCTGGTTTCTATAAAAGATTGATAAAAAAAAATCCTTGAATTCTTATCGGAAACTTTTTGCAATCGTATGCAACGATTATCTTCATAAATAAAAACAAAATATAATGATAAAATTAGTATGTCTGTACTCGAATGTTTATATTTTGAAGGTTTTCTCAATTGTGCTCATGGCATTCAGTAAACATTCAGCAACTGTATTGTGTTTGTAGTTTTGAACTTAAGACTTTTTGCAAAGGCTTTTACGACAAGAAAACCTCCTGAAACAAACCAACATGAACTATCATACTATTCCTTATTTGCAACTATTGTTATTCAATTGATCATGGTCATAAGTGAGAAAATACGATAGTGCCGTATTATGAATGATTTATTCGGCTTTTACTAGATAGTATAGAATTACTGAAAATTTAGATGAACAACTTTCGAGGTAGGAAAAAACATACCTGCCGACATATCAATTTTTAATTAAAATGCACTTCTCTTTGCAGACGTTCAGCAATTGATACTTCTTGAACTTCGGTCTGACGAGCTTCGTTCTACGATAACTTGTATCTATGAATGCATTTTTAGATTAAAATGTGATCATTTAGCTGCCCAACAATTCTAAGTACATCATAAAACATAACTTAAGAAGAGAAGATACGGGAGCAGAATAAAAAAAAGCACTTTTTCATTACTCATCATGATCGTTGGAATGACAGTAGTTTCAAGTAAAACAGCAATGGGATAATGATGAGCGCTTGCTCTTTGACATAAAAGTTACTTCTGTTGGGCAGAATCTTGCATTAACAACAAGAGCCTTATCAACTACTCATCATTCCATTCAAATATATCTGTTGATATCTCAAATAATATTATTTAAAAAATATTCTATTTGTTTATTTGATTTATATTTTCCATTATGGTCAAAACAGCTGCTTTCGAAGAAATGAAAAATAGATAATAGAGCAAAATGCTTACAGTTTACTTGTGTATTTTCATCATCGAATGAACCGCTGCCACCGTCGCTGATAGAATTTTCAGATGATCATGTTTGTCTCATGATTAACCAGCATCTCTAATTATATGTGATTGTCGCTAATTACTTACAACACAATGTTGGTTCAAAATAACGCATTCCTATTCATTATTTATTTATATGCTACTATTGGTAACTAACGACAACTATTGATGAATGTGTTTTCCTTCATGTTTCTGATTGGTTTCATATGTGATAAAAGAAAATAAAAACAGAAATTACGTTCGTCTACCCTACATTCAAATTTAACGTTTTATTTGCTAACATAGAGACAAATGCTGAAATCTGAAGTAATTGTTGTATCTGGTCCGTCAACATCATCACGTCGTAGGTCGCCATCTGATTCTCCTCGACAGGATAAATCGTCGAAAAGATCTCGTCGAACACCAACCCCATCATCACAATCAGATGATGATGATCGACGAAGTCACAGTGATGATGATGAAGAAGAAGGCGAAGTACGATCTAAACAAACTTTGAATGATCCTCCAGTTCAAGCAAAACCTGTTGCTCCTGTTACAGCACCGCGTACTGGTGGTCTATATTTGCCTCCAGCAAAGCTACGTCTTCTACAAGTAAGATTATTTTGAATTCTTTTATTAGATTTATTTATTTTATTATAATTATTAGGGATCATTAACAGATAAATCGAGCCCTGAATATCAACGTCTAGCTTGGGAAGCTTTGAAAAAAACACTTAATGGTCGTGTTAATAAAGTCAATACAGCCAATTTGGCATTGATTATTCGGGAATTATTCAAAGATAATATCGTACGTGGTCGAGGTTTATTAGCTCGTGGCATTATTCAAGCGCAAGCGGCATCTCCATTTTATACATCGGTGTATGCTGCATTAGTATCAGTTGTAAATACAAAATTCCCGCAAATCGGTGAATTAATCGTGAAACGTTTGATTTCATCATTTCGTCGAACATATCAACGAAATGACAAAAACAATTGTTTAGCAGCAACAAAATTCATCGCACATCTCGTCAATCAAAATATTGTATGTATCTTTGTAAATGATTAAATTATTTCACTGTTTTTTTTCTCTCTCTATTCAGCTTCATGAAATAGTTGCATTACAAATGCTTGTTCTTTTACTGGAAAATCCATCCGACGATAGTGTGGAATTAGCTATCGGCTTTTTAAAAGAATGTGGACAGAAATTATCTCAAGTTAGTCCACGAGGATTAGATTCAGTGTTTTCCACATTAAGAAATCTTCTTCACGAATCATCGCTTGATAAACGTACACAATACATGATTGAAGTGTTATTTGCAGTCCGCAAAGATCAATTTAAGGCTAATCCTGCTGTTCCAACTGGTCTTGATTTGGTCGAAGAAAGTGATCAATATACTCATATGCTCACATTAGATGATCCCTGTGAACCTGAGCCAATGCTTGGTATGATTTAATACTTTTGAATGAAAATGAAAATAAGCTTGTTTATTTTAGATGTATTTAAATACGATGATGAATATGAGGAAAATGAACGAAAGTACAAAGAAATTCGAAAAACGATTCTGAACGAAAGTAGTGACGATGAAGATGAAAGCTCAGGTTCATCTGATAGCGACGACGACGATGATGATGATGGCAAAAAAGATGTTGATGAAGAAGAGCAAGGAGCTGGTGCGACACAAAGTAAATAGAAGTTTATGATATTTTTCGTTGGAGATTTAAGATGAAATAATCCATTGTTGGATAAATACTTTAGATAGAAGTCTAGAAATCTATCCAATTCATATCAGTTTGTTTTATTGAATTAGAATAGTTGTTTTTTGGATGAGATGTAACTACTTAAAAAAAAAAGAAAACCGCTAATTATTCATTCGGTATCTCTCTCAAACTTTATGATAATTTTATTTGAAGTTGCTTGAACAGCTAGGTTGCGTTTCAGTTTACATCTATTGTTATGATTAGTCTGAGTGGTCTTCAGTTTGGGACTATACTTAATCAGCGGTGCATGGAAACTTTCATAGTAAGATGTGTTCGCAGAAAGTAGCCTATTCCGATTATAAATTCTTTTTCAATTTGTAATCATACAAAATAAATATTCTATTGATTTCAAACGATTATTTTTTCAGCCAAACAAGACACCATTATTGATCAAACAGAAACAAATTTGGTAGCACTTCGGCGTACAATATATTTAACGATTCAATCGAGTATTGGTGCTGAAGAATGTGCACATAAATTACTGAAAATGAATTTACGTCCTGGTCAAGAAGTAAGTTTTCTTTTCTTTTGAAACTATTCAATTAAAACCAATTTCTTAGATGGAATTATGTCAAATGATTCTCGACAGCTGTGCACAACAACGAACATATGAACGATTTTTTGGTCTACTTGCGCAACGTTTTTGTCTATTGAAGAAGGAATATATTGAATGTTTCGAAAAAGTGTTTCAAGACCAATATGAAATAGTGCATCGTCTTGAAAATGTCAAATTAAGAAATGTAGCTAAATTTTTCGCTCATTTACTCGTCACTGATGCTATTTCATGGGGTGTATGTATATTCTTCTATTGTTTTTTTATATAATACGTTTCTTTTTTTTTCTAGGTTCTTCGTTGTATTATTTTAACAGAAGAAGATACCACCTCGTCGTCGCGTGTTTATATCAAGAATTTGTTTCTAGAATTAGCGGAATTCCTTGGTTTAACCAAACTTAATAATCGTTTAACGGATCCGTATGTTATTGAAAAATCAAAATAGAATAATCAATTTTTGTTTTATTGTAGAACACTAGCAGAGTACTTTGATGGTTTATTTCCACGAGACAATCCAAAAAATACTCGATTTTCAATAAACTTCTTCACATCAATTGGTCTTGGTGGTCTAACGTAAGTAGTTTTTCGTTATGTGGATATCAAATAATCGTTTATTTGTATTTTATTTTAGTGATGATCTTCGAGAATTTTTACGAACAAATCCACCACCAGCTACATCAGTAGAACCTGCCGTACCTGTTAAACCTGAAATAAAAGAAGACGAAGAAGATTTTAAAGATCATGAACGTATGCAAGCTCGTCTTCGTGAACTTCAAATGAAAGAAGAAAAAACAAAAAAGAAGAAAGAAGATAAAAGAACAAAAAAGCGTATGATTTCTTGTTTATAGATTGTAGTAGAATTGAAGTCGGAGAACGGATTAATAATACACGGAATAATTTGGTTAAGTAGCTTTTATCGTTTCGATCAAGCCTCCTAATGGGATGGGATGAAGGTCCAATCCCATGGGAAATGTGATTATTTTTTTAAAGAAAAAACGATTATCCATTTGTGTCACACTTGGCAATAGGTGAAAAGTATGAATATTATCATTCTTTTTCTGTACAAATCATTAACCCAACTCCGAGCTCTATTCGAACAATTGAATAAAGAATACGATAAAACATAGAAAACAGAAATAAACATAAATGTTCTTTTTGCTTCAATGTTTTAATTAAATATCATCATCTTTTGTTTTATAAATTGTTCAATGTTACCTTCTATAATTATTTCTTCCTCATTATCATCCTTAGTTTAGGATAAACAGGAATATTCAGTTGAGAAAATCAAATTTCGTTTGCAAGATCACAAACAGAATTAAAAGGTATTGATAATGATATTCCAACCAGGAATGCACCAATTTCTAATACATGGTACGATAGATAACATTTTTGCCTAATGTAGGAGGCAGTCGTCCTCTGATTCCGTTCCATATATCAGCCAAGATCATTTTTTTCGATCTATGAAAAACTATGATCCAAACTTATTAAAGATGAAAAATCGTTTTTGGATTTGACTCCCAATTGCAATTTTCAAGTCGTTTTCCGTCAAATTCTGCCAAAGCCAATTTAGTTTCAGACTTGCAATTTGCATTACACAAATTCGAAGAATAGATTTGAAAAAAGCGTTCAAAACTGAACAGAAAAATATGAAGAAAGAGATGTTCGATCGATATTTCTTTCTCACTACCGGGCACATCATTTTTAAGCAGGGAAAAGATCAAATCCCGCCAATTTCCTTAATTTTTAATGCGATGTTTGCATGTTTTCAGCATTGGGAGCTATGGGCTAAGCCTCTTTTTACTTATTTTTTTCCGTTCAGTTTTGAACGTTCTTTTGAAATCTATTCGTAGAATTTGTGAATTTGTGTAGTCTGAAACTGAATTGAATTTGACCGAAACGGCTTGAAAATTCAAATTCTGCGTCAAATCCGAGAACGTTTTTTAATCTCTCATAAATCTCGGCTATCGTTTTATATAGAGCAAAAAAAATGGTCTTGGCTCATATGGAATCAGAGCACAACTCCATTCTACATCAGGCAAAAATGTTATCTTTCTTGCAATGTACTAGGAATTCGTGCATCTCTAATTCCAATATTCAAATCGGAATGTTGAAAAACTTCGAATTTCCAGTTAGAAAAAAAATAAACCTTGATTTTCAGTAAGATTTTTCGTAATATAGCGAATCCCATTAGGAACCCTGGTTTCGATTGTAAAAGCTGTTCAGTGGGTCATTGATTCAGATGTGAGCCGAAGATAATTTATATTGAGTTTCTTCTATAGTCAGCGACATGCTTGTAGATGAGAATACTTAAGGCCAGACTTTATTGTTCAACAAATGAGAATTAATTTCATACAAGTGCAATAGTTAAAGAAAAAACTTATGAAATGTTTTCGTAAAAAATAAATCAAAAATTCGAATATGATTCTTATTTAGTACATACGAAGTGAAGTAAGTTGCGTAGGTATTTTAAAAACTGATGCAAACCCGGTAGCTCATGTCTATTGAACAGAATACTTCTCTTTGTTACTAAAAAACGATTTATCAAGATCTCTTGTTCATACATTTTATAATGAATCAAAATTTATTGAGCATGCTCTTTTTTTATCAATAATACATAGGTTCACCATCAGCTTCGTCCACTTCGTCGTCATCGTCATCAGGATCATCGTCGTCGGGTTCTTCGTCATCGTCAGCTTCCCCACCGCCGCCGCCGCCACCACCACCGCTATCTCGAAAGGAAGATCAACGTAATCGGGTCGAACGTCGTCAAAAAGATCAATCTCCTGAAGCCGATCGTCGAAATAAATCAAGAAAAGATGAAGGTCGGCCAAGATATCTATCTCCAGAACTTGATCGTCGAAATGGCGTAAAGAAAGACGATCGTCGACAAAAAGATCGCTCTCCAATTGTTGATCGTAGAGATCGAACAAAAGAAGACGACCGCCGACCAAAGGATCGACGCGTAGAAGAAAAAAGGCACCATGAGAAGCAACCATCACTTGATCGTGGTCGTCATTATCATAAATCGTCAAAACGCTAAATAATTTTTTTTGTTTATTGTTATTAAATTTTTTTTGTCGTGCAGTGTCTATTTCAAAAACAAAAACTAAGAAAGTAATAAATGCTTATTACGTTCAACTTGGATTTAAAATGAGTCATACTGAGAGAATGTGATTTTCCTAAATTGTAGATGCATTTTAATTCATGCTATCGTTCGTCAATGTGAATATCTCATATACACGAATATCATCAAATATATGAATTTAAATGTTTATATTCGTTATCAGGAATATATAATATAATTTTACCAGCTAGTTTCTCAGCATAATTAATTCTCATTTTCTGTGAAATATATTGCGATAGACTCGACATATTTTTGTTAGCGTCAGGAACTGATGGATACTATTTATATCCGAATTTTCGTGTCATTTCCTTACGACGACTTTATCTGAATGGGACAATACTTGAATATGATCTATTGATGAAAAACGATGGTTCTATAGGTTTATCTTTCTCTAGATAAAAGAAATAGAATATGGTTAAATTACCGATTTTACTTGCTATATGTAAGTATTTTATTTTAATGTTTTCAAAATTCTAAAAATGCTCGTTTTTATTGATCTAGTATTATCGATAGTTATATTTGTTAATGGATATCGTCTAGAAAATGGTCTTCCGTTAAAATATCACGTTAGTGGTGTTATTCAATTACCTTATGCAGAAATAAGTGAACCATTCGAATCATGGATTGATAGTGAATTAGGTTTTTCACGTATTGATTATTATGGCGGTTAGTCTTTTCTGTTTTTTTTTCTTCTCGTTTTTCTTTATAAGCAAAATTATAGGTGCCGCAAAAACTGTTCAACGAAAAGGCAAAGGTACTCAAGATTTCGGTGCTAATTATAAAATTGTCCCAGTATCAAGTAAGCCAAAATTTTTATTACATGAAGTTTCTCTGCAAATAATATTTTTTTTTATAGATGAAGCAGTTTTAAATAAACTTACCTGTTTTGAAGTCGATGGCTCAAAAGATGCATTAATGGATATACAACATAGTTTACCCGATATAAATTCATTTAAAGTATTTGGTCAATTTATTGTGCTTTTAATATTATTCAGCGTTGTTTTTATTTTAGGATCTAGGATTAACTGAATGGCGTGGAATAAAATGTCAAGTTTATCAAATCATTGATCAAGAAGGTGATAAAAAATCGACCTACACTTATTATGTTAATGCTGAAACACAACATCCAGTTCATTATGAAATGTTTGGTTATGATACATTGATTGGATCTCATTTTGATAAATATACAATTGATTATTATAATTATGATGAAAATCCAATTGATTCAAGTTTATTTCATATTACTGATGGTAATTTGCATTGTTCTTATATTTTTTTTGCTAATGATTAATTTTCAATGATCTCTTTGATAGATATGCAATGTGTGGGATTTCCGGATTCTGAAAATGAACATACATCTCCACGTGTTTTATTTAATCCCATGAGTGAATACATAAATCGTCATGGTGAAGATGATTTCGAATCATCATTTGAGAATTTTAAGGAACAACATGAACGTAAATATAAAGATGAACATGAGCATCGTCGTCGATTGAAAATTTTTCGACATAACAATCGTTATGTAAATACACGTAATCGTGCAGGACTCACATATACAATGAAATTAAATAAGTTTGCTGATCGAAGTGTAAGTTTAACAGTTGAAATTTGTTTTGATTAGTTTTTGTATATTTAAAAGGATGATGAATTACGCGTACTTCGAGGTCGTCGGTATGCAAAAGGTTATAATGGTGGTCTACCTTTTCCCGTAGAAGAATTAACCAAAGATAACCAAGCTGTTCCAGAGTCAATCGATTGGCGTATTATGGGTGCTGTTACACCAGTTAAAGATCAAGGTATTTGTGGTTCATGTTGGACATTTGGAACAACTGGCGCTATTGAAGGTGCTTATTTTGTTAAGGTAAAATGAGAGCTATTGATTTAATCTCAAATATGTTTGTTTTTAAATATTATGTTAGCATGGATCATCTATTCGTTTATCTGAACAAGGTTTGGATATATAGAAACGATTGTTTTTTGAAAAATTATTCTATCATAATTTCTTTAAATAGATTTAGTCGATTGCTCATGGGGTTTTGGTAATAATGGTTGTGATGGGGGTCTAGATTATCGTGCATATCAATACATTATGAAACATAATGGAATAGCGCTCGAAGATGAATATGGTCCCTATTTACAAGAAGATAGTTTTTGTCATCATGATATGGCTACAAAAGGTGCTAAAATTCTTGGATACGTTAATGTAACTCAAAGCGATGTTGAAGCTTTAAAACTTGCGTTAGTTAAAAAAGGTCCAGTTTCTGTTGGTAAGATTTTTATAATTGATTTTTATTTAAAAAAATACTTCATTGTATTTCATAGCTATTGATGCTGCTCATAAAAGTTTTGTATTTTATGCTAGTGGAGGTAAGAATTAAAAATTCTATTTCAAATTATTTTACTATATTGATTGTTTCTTTTATTTTTAGTTTATTATGAGCCTAAGTGTGGTATGCTTCAGTTGATTTTGATTTACAAATATTAAAATCTTTTTTTCTTTTTATTAGGTAATACCCCAGAAGATTTAGATCATGCAGTACTAGCTGTTGGCTATGGTACATTAAATGGTGAAGATTATTGGCTTGTTAAAAACTCTTGGTCAACATATTGGGGCAATGATGGTTATGTATTAATGTCACGAAAGAATAACAATTGTGGTGTAGCTACATCAGCAACTTATGTTATTGTTGCATAAAATGCAATCTCACAATCTGTTTTTTTCCCTGTTACATATGTATTTAGATCTAGGGCTCTCTCTCATTTTGTTTTTGTATTTTATCCCAGGATATTAAATAGAAAGTTGAAAAAAGAAACAAAGTTTTACATTTCTTAACATATGTTATAGGGTCGTTTCCATTGGTGTCCAGTAATTTGATAAATACCTCGACAATATAAATAGAGTTGATTGAATTGACCTATTAAATAACGTCGCCGACTTGCCCATTCACTAAAACCACTCCGAGCCATAATTAATGTATCACATTCGCCAAGAACGTAAAAATCTGAAATAACTTTAAGAAAGCCTGTACATCGCTCATCAGATGAATACAATGACGATAGACGATCAATATGAATGATTGGACCAGGAATAGATATTGATTGATTTGTTGTATTATATCTATCAAGAATATCTTGATTTACTTTCATCGAATCACTTGTTATAAATATCATTGAATTGTTATTGATTGTTAGATTTTTATCAACAAATTGAATCATATCTTCAACCATTGTTTCACGATAAGTACGAATTTCATCATAAATCATTGTAGGATTTTTGCCAATACGTATATGTAAACAAATTAATTGTTTCTTAACTGATTTATTATTATTTAATTTGATTAATAATTGATCAACCATAGTCATTACATGATCTGCTGGTCGAAAAAGAATTTCATAGAGAAGTGGAAATAAACGAGCTTGTGTAGACTCAATAGATGATATGTTTAATAAACGAACTATATTTTGTAGATACTTATTAGCTAATGCAGGTGTTACATAATCACTAGCTGTTTCGATTGAAATATCATCAAATTGTGACCATTCGATAAGGAAATTTGTTGAAGAAATTTTTTCATACATTTTTTGTTTTAATTGTTTATCTACTGTAGCTTCTATATATAATGTTTTGCGATTCGATTTACTAATTTAAGAAAAATTATTTTCCATTAAAATATGTTCAATTAAGTGCAAATAGAAAAATAATTACTCATATTCAATTGGTTGCCAATCATAAAGATTTGGTATTAAAAATTTTGTTAATTCACATGGATAAGGCATATCAATGTAAAATCTTCGTTGAGTAAGTACAGCTAAGATAAATGTCGATGTTATACCACGAAGTCGATCACCCCCTTGAAAAGAAAACTTAATATTATTATTTATTTCAATTAAAATACGATCTATTGATTATATTTACATCCGCCACACCATTCTCGGCATCGATATGTTATTGATTGAGACTGATTTGAAGATGATCTATAGAGTAACATGGAAAAATTAACATGACTAAATTGTTGGCGAAGTAAATGTAAACGTTTATTGATTTTATTTGATAGAATATTTTTTGAATGTACAATTAGATTTCTATTTATTGAATGTAGACGATAAATCAATGTACTGATGCCAATAGTGAAAATTAATATCACAAGAAAACGGCAAGAACGAAGATATCTCATTGTGCACATACATATGAATGTCCTACCCGGGCAACTATTATTTGTTTATCTGTTATCTTAGAAAGGTTATTCTTTTACTTTGTGTATTATCCAGATGGTAATTGTATCATCGTTGAGAAAATCATACTGTAATGATAATCTTTCATAGAAACGCATTTAGTTCTGTTTAAATTATTCAATTTATGTCCTTAAAAAGAAAACTGTTTTCTATGCTGGTAAAAATATGAACGAATGATATAAAATTTGCATGTTCAATTGAAATCATAAAATGCAATTTTCTTTTCTTTTTTTCCAAATATTTGTTTCGGTTCACATTGAACAATTAGTTAGATTTTATCCCAACAACATTAGGATACACCAAAATTTCCTGCTATGCGTCTTCTCTAGTGTTCAACTACAGAACATTTTTAATAGAATATTTGTTTCTTTGCTTCAGCTCTTTTCATTTAATCCACGAGTAACTCGTTGAAAGCTCTTTCTTTTACACGTCAAATGGTATTTAGAAATACGTCACACGATTCTTCTTGACCCTTTCCTTTTACACGACGCTACAGATTTTCAAGTACAGTCAGAAAATACCCTCTAGGATTTTTTCTCAATTATGTGCTCTCAAAGAATAGTCCCACTTCAAAAAATATGAATGAACAAATGGATTCTTTGAAAGCTCTAAATGATCCTACACTATTGTATCAAATTTCATTTCTTAGCAAGATACTTCAACCATTGTGATACTCTTGAACTTGGCGGAAAAGAACGATAAGGAAAATAGCGAAAGAAAGACAAAGAAAACTTCCATAAGTGGATATTTTCTTTTCTTTTTTTTCCGCTATTTTCCTTTTCGCTCTTTTCTACTAACACACCATAATCTTTATGAAAAAAGCAAAATTGGCCTTTTGTCTCTACTTATTTTCAATGGATTTCAATCAAAATAGCCAGAATTCGTAGCACAGTTCACGATATATATATATATACATGGATTATTGAAGCTTCGGACTACGTTTTATTTCATCGAAAAATAGAGCTCTAACGAATATACATGTTTTGAATTTACTTAACTTTGTTTTCAGTTCGATTCTTATTTTATTTATTTTTCGGAACTATACAGTGCAATAATCTGACTATTATATTTAAACAATTGAATAGATAAAATTGCTTCTTGTAATTAAATTGTACAGATGAATAGATACTATACAACCCTTCCAAGTGACAGTAGAGCGTAGCACACGTTTATATTTTGAACATTGTAACCAAAAATAAATATACCGTTCACAAATTTTCCTATGAAAAAATGTCTTCAAATTATGCGACATTCATCTTGAAAGATTGGTCAAAATTAATAAATGAACTGTGGGGCTCCATCACTTTTGTTCTGATGAAATGTGTGATAAGAATCAGACTCAATAAATAGCAGTGCTACTCCAAAGATTGCAAAATAGAGAAGAAAAGACCTGTCAAGCATCTTTACAAATGGCTGTTCTTTTATTCAGAAAATATGCAACTTGAGAGTGTAAAAATAAAACATCATCTCGGCGAATTCTTTCATTTTTTTGTCAAAAAGTTTCTTTTTACTAATAGACTATAATCTGTATTGTTTATGAAGCTAACAACGATTTTATTTCGATTATCATGAAAAAATTTTCCAGAAAATGGCTTTTGTAGAACCATGATCTAGTGTTGCGAGAATCGTGTTTGTTCTTCAATCTCAACGCTTTTAAGATAATTGACATCAATGCAAGTCTAATAAGAGTAATATTGGCATGATGTAAAGAGAAAAATTGTTACTGACTGGAAATAGATTTATGGTAGATGATGGCATCAAAATTGGTAGTAATACGTCTTCAATAATTAAACTAAAGTGCCATGCGATGAATTTTTCAGCGAATAAACATATCAGACGGTATAGGAAAACACTACTTGAATCTTCAAAATATTTACTGTATTTACATAGATAAGCATTTATCTGAAGTCAGAGCTTCAATTTTTCATGACATTGATTAATTTTGTCAAAAGGATGTCATTGTGAAACAAATATTAAGGAATTCTTGAAGACGTTTTAACAGAAAGAAAAATATCTCGACATCCTGCTTATTTAACTATTTCCATTTGTCATGCTAATCTGGAATATAAAAAAAGTTTAGTACCGTTGAATAAAATGTTCTCAATGGGCAAAAGATTGAAAAAATTTCTAGAATTATTTTCGACAGGTCTTGAAGTTTTTAACCTGTTTATTATATCATAAATTAATAACATTCATTCATTGGACGCTTTATAAATCTATTGAATTTTATTTAGATTAAAAAAAAACAAGAGGTTTGATTAATTTATTTCTCGAATAAATTATGTTCTATTTTTAGAATGCAAAACAAACTTAATCATAGTTAAAAGGAGTATTTACTAGAGCATGTTAATCGTTTGTTGACTAACTTATTCATATGTCAATATCATGTTTCGTAATATTTCTATTTATAATTGATGTAAATCTTCTAGAACGATTGTCATTTATCAGAAAGGCATCATTAGCTCTGTACTGTTTTTATTATAATTAAATAAGTAATCTCTAGTTTGACTTTAAGATATTTTTCTTTTTTTTTCATTCTTATTGATTTATAACTGTTCTAATCGATAGATTTGAAATCAATAAAACTTATATATTTCCCTAAGAATATTCACATCATTCAGTCTATGAAAGATACTCAAAGTTCTACAGTTCATTTCAGTACAAGTCACATGGTAAGATCACCTCGGACTTTTCTTTTGCTTGAGTTACGCGTTATTACTTGTACAAACGTTTGCGTAATATGGTTTTTTCTTATTTCTTTAGAAGGCTGACGTAAAATGACTCGTAATAGTATTGACTTCACAAGGAAAAACATCAATAAGAAATAGTTGAGTTAACTCAATCGGAGCTGTCTTAAATTATGCATCCTCGGATAAATGAAAACAAAATCACACCTAAAAAAACAAAAATGACCTGAGTGCATCGCGCATGTATAAATATACATTAGAGAATAATGACAAAATAAATGCATATTAGACGAATGTTAACTATAGCCTTACATGTTTTGTATGTCTTTTTGTATTGGCCGCGATTGACACGAAAGAAAACTGCTGATTTCCAATCAATACAGTCGGAAATAGTTTGTTTTTCTTCTTTGTTTTTGTTGTTGTGACCTTAATCAGTATGACCTAATTTATTTATATACCATAGTCTTTGCCGGTTTCCTTTTGATGTACAACTATTCATCACAAAAGAATTAACAAGCATTGGTAATATAAACATTTCTTTTCTCGTTCGATTCTTCAACTATAAATATTATAGAAAAAGAGTTACAACTCGAGATGCTATCGAAGTAGATTGAGGTGCAGAGTTGTTCATTTATATCTATTCTATTTTTATATAAATATACAACATATTTAGCCATTTAGCTAGTTTTTTTGCATTAGATAGTAGACTTGTTTTTTTTGTGCCTCGATTTACTAATGGTATTATTATTCTTCAGAGAAATGCCCGTCTTTTAAACTATTTATCAAAATTTTGTCACTTTCGACAACCACATGACACATATGCTACATTGACCACATTTATTAAATTGGTTTTTAAACAACATACAGAATAGAAAATATCCTATTGGCTTCAAACACACATTGCATATCTCGTTGAAGTATTATTCTTCTTGGTATTAATTCTAAATAGCTAAGTAGTATAGTTGACATGAAAGAAAGTGAACAAAATGATAGAATTTTCAAAGCTATTTTCATTAAATGCTATACAGATTTATTTGTATTTTTTTTGTGTATATATGTAATATACTAGATAATCAATCTTTCTATCTGATGACCTGATGTACAGGATAAGATCTGATAGGTTTTATACCAGGATAATTTCGTTGTTTTGATTGACACACAGCTTGATAAATATTATGTTGTCCATTTTGTGCAGGCGACCGATGACGATCAGTAGAGTAACGATTTCGTGCAAAAGCTTTACGAATATGTCGTATATAAAGTTTACCAATACGTTTTAATTCTAGACGAAATTGTCTTCCACTAACACAATAAATATAGAAATTTAATGAGCAATTTGCTAATATAATAACACTGACCAAATTGGCTAACAGCAAATCTGAAGTCGAAAAATATACCAACGATGTTACACTTGATGAAAGAAAAAATAGTAATGAATGTAATAATAAAACAACATTCATCCAGGACATCTTCCCAAATGGTACGTTTGTATTTGTATTTGATGAACCTTTCAAGCATACTTGTCTCAAAGAGCTTTGCCGCTGTAATTGTAGAGTTCTATCAGATAAATATACAGGTGATGACGCTGGTGCTTTTGTTGATGAACCAGCTATTACAGGCATTGATAAAGTATTACTAGGGTTATATTGTTGTCGTCGTCGAACATGTGCTGTTGTTCGTAAAATGCATCCTATTATGCCTGCATTAAATAATGCAACTAACAGTGAGGGTATTAGTTCGGAAAATAAACATCGCAACGTATAATAATTAAGTCCAAATGTTAAAGCGTCAAAATAATGTCGCCACATGGGTGATACACTTTGCTTATCATATGTACATTTTGCTGATGAATTTGTTTCATTCAAACTAGAATAGTAGATGATTTTTTTTAGTAAACAATAAGAGAAAATAAATCGGTTTTACTTAGATAAATTTGGTGCAAAGAAAAAGACAGTTGGACCTGTAACAATAGCAACCATGATCAATGCGATTGTAATCATACATAAAAATTTATATTTTCCCAAAAAATGACATTTTTCACCTCGATTATAAAATAAATTTAAACGCGATGCTACATAGACAAATCTTTCAATAACCCAAAAAACTGTAACCCATGCCGCAATTACACGAATTGATGATGATAAGCGATATATTTTACATGTCATCCAATGTAAATTAACAAGATTATCGGATAGCCATCGTCTTGTTGTTGAATGAAGTAAAAATGCATAACGTATAATACATATTAAATTAATTCCAAACGATGCTAATGCTAAAGTAGCATATGTTGAACAACAACGAAAACGACGTGATGAAAAAACGAGCAGACCAAGAAGATTACCAATAAAGCCAAGTACAAATAAAACAACACAAATCCAATCGATGGCAGTAATAACCAATGACATTGATAGTTTAGAAAGATATCTATATGATAGATAATAATATAAATTATGAAATAGCATAAAGCAAAAAAAAAAGAAAGTAGGATATATATGGGAAAGAAATAACAGTAGAGATAATAGTTATAGAACATTGGGGAAAAAATGAAGCCCTTTTATATTTTGTTCTTATCATCTAGGATGTATTTAAATAGTTTTCTATAAATAAAAAAGAGTGAATGTCAAATTTATGCCTGATCAATCTCTTTTGGTAACATAGCAAAGAACATTAAAATAGTCGTTTTTTTGTTTTACAAAATCTGATGATATAGATAACTATCTATGATCTTGATTAGGTCGACTTACGTTTGAATATTTCACAAGGCAATGAAAGTAAATAAATCTTTCGTACAAATCATTTATTCACGTAAAAAATAGTATCTTGAAAATTCAATTAGAATAAATGCGGAAATATCGGATTCGCATCCGATTGTTACGTGTACTGCAAAAACTGAGTCGATTTATATATGTTGTGAATAATTCTGAGAAAAAAATCCCTGTACCCCCCTCCCCCTCTCTCACGGATGGTCTGGTCAATAGTGACAATTGGATGACGCTTTCAAAGGTTATCGTGTTAATGGCCGGACACACTGGCCGAATCTAGAATGAACTCGCGTTTTGAGTACACAAAAAAGAAATTAGTGATATTTATATGCGTACAATAATTTTTAAAGAGGTATCTTACAAATTGAAGAAAATGAATCTGAGACTATTGACCTTGATTGCCACTGTTTATTACTAATCAAGAAAATATTTAACAACAGAATGCTCTTTAGAAATTTCTTCTGAATAAGAAAGCACGTAACTTAATAATAGAGATCGCTTTTTCCTCCGGATGTTTGAAAGTGCATTATTTGCTCTCGCTTTGTTCTGATGACAGCATATGCATTCACACATATACATGCATATGTGGGTGCACTCCAGTCTTTTCAGGTCTGGACGAAATCAAATGAGAAAAAGAAATTGGCGTTTCCGGAAAAAAAGTGACGCGCTTGTCACAACTGATTGGAATGAGCGGGATGTTTATATCGCCTTTAAAACATCTAAAAGATGTTTTACGACGCCAAGAAGCTAACTGAAAACAAAATTTTCGAAATTCTTTGACATATAATTATTTACGGTTCAATATATATATATATATAAGGTAGGACATTGTTACTGCATAGATGGTATATTTAAATACTAATTTCTCGATTGTTTCTCTTATTATTAAACAAGAAAAAAACTGATAACAAGTCTAACATGACAAACACAAATTACGTTGATACTAAGTGTATGGAATAGTATATATTCTAAAAATTTATTCATCTATGTTGTTCTTAATTATATTTTCTTGATGAAATTCTATTAGATTTATCAATTAGTCGGATGAATAATTACAATTACTGTGCAACTCTCTTATGCCCATGCAAAAAAAGCAGGGATAAAATCAGATTAGAATCGATTACCTTTTTGATTAAAAATCGATTATAATTAGCTGCAATCAATTATAATCGGAGAAAGCAGTTATTTCGCTGTACTAATCGATTATTATCGATTAAGACTGATTGTGATCAATTCCTATTCCAGTAGTAATCGATTAAAAGGTGTACGATTATAATAGATTTTGATTAGCTGAAATCGGTTATAATCCATGTACCAATTTTTTCCTACTACTACGGAGTACAACAAACTTCAGTTGATTTTTATCTGTTTTTAATCAATCACAAATCAACTAACAGCGGATTCAAAGTAACTGTAATGGTTTGAAATCGACATCAGGCACATAATAACATCTCATCAATTACTTCCAGTACACTGATTTACAATCAGCAAGATTAGAGTTATTTTTACTTTCCTGAAAGTACTTTCTCAAGAATTTATTAGTATTATCTAAATTATATTATTCAGAATTTTTACGGTCGCAACAAAATATACTTCTACTTCCTTATTTTCTGCTAAACGAACTGGTGATACTCCTCTCCGAGAAAAAGGAAGACATCAATGAAAACAATCGTTATCAAAACGAAAAACAAGTCTGAACATATTCCATTTGAATCAATGGAGCAAAAAAAAATGATTTAGTTTGACAACAAAATGTATCCTTAATATTCGTTTTGAAGCGAAAGGAAGAAATAGCGAAAAAACAACTCAGCTTTATATTAAAAGCAAACTCGTATCATAATCCAGGAATGTGGAGGTGTTGCGCAATCAATTATTTTTATGGGAAGTACTGTAAAGAATGTTACAGTTTTTTCTTTGAAAGGGGTTTGATGCTTCTGACTATCGTGTATTACATCAGATTTTCGATGCGATTTTCGAGATAATTAAATCGTTGTTTTAAATTCAAACCAGGTCATATATGTTGAAATCGCGTTTTTCATGTGCATAAAGAAATTGGGCTCAGTATCGAATGTTTTGCCTTGTTCTTACACGTATCGAGTCTAAATAGGTTGTTACATTCTTTTTTAAATAACAAAGGTGATAGCTACTGATCTAGGATTGCCTGTGTATGCCGTTCATTACCAAGTACTGAAGTAATAATCTATCTTTCTAAATTTTCCAGATATCATATTTTTAAGATTTAAACCGTGATTTATTTTACACTGTTGAAATGAATAATCTTTAAATTATTATGATGGCCTTAACTTTAACTTTTATCACGCAACATAATCACAAAAAATCATTACAAATGATTTTTTTCAAACGTTTTCTTAGTGAGTACGAAAAATCAATAAAGAAGTGACTTCTGATTGTGAAAGTTTTCAAAGCATGTTTTCTCAGCCTAGCTCGGTTTTGCTGGATTTTCGTAAACTATTCTGTTGAAAAAATTGAATAACTCCTAATTGAATTTTCAATTTAGCTATTTTAACCTGCATAAAACTCCATTCGCTATAATGAATTCAAAAGTAAAATTGATTCTAATATATTATTAGTAGTAGGAGTTTATTTTAAACTAACTAAATCTCTATTATTATAATCGATTCGAGAAACGAATCAATTTTTGTAGATTTTAAGTGAGAAAAAATAATAAAATACTGATGAAAATCGATTCTAATTGATTAATAAAAATCACAGATAATCGATTATAATCTTCAATTTAATCAGAAAAAATCATAATTGCTCTATTTTCATCAATTATTTGTGATGCGAATCGATTACAATCAAGAATTTAGTTACACATAAACGCAGATGATACCCATGTAAAAATTTTCCGCAAAAAATCACCATATTTTATGAAAATATGTTGACGATAAATTGCACAACTTCTAATTGATAAATATTGATTTTCGGGGCATTAAAACTACTATGTACATAAATTTGCCGAGTAAAACTGTTTCACGTGTTTCTCCGTAAGTAACAGGAAGAGGTGCGCTGTTTTAAAAAAAATGTTTTTTTCTTCTTGCAGTTAAATTGTGAGTGATCCAATGCTTGCTGCCAAGGTTGTGTACACTCATTTTTTATACTCTTTTTTCCTCCTTGGAGTGAAATCGAAATTTTATCCAACATAGCTACGACAAGTTTCTTTTTACATTTCTATCAAAACCTATCGTTAAATAGAATTAGCATAGCTTCGCCGACTCCAACTTCGCCAAGTAAAATTCTTGACCGAAAAATATCGAATCAAATTTGATCCATTCTAGATATAGAATTTTATCACAACGAACTACTTTAATAGTAACTTGATTAATTAACCCCATCTGACTTGGTAACCATCTGAGTTGGTAGCAAACTGAGTTGATTACCCGCACTCACACCCTCAAGAGTCGACAAAGCAGGAATTTACCGTTAAATATATTACTAGACTTACAAATAGATGATGGCTTAACATGGCGAAGCTATAAAAGCAATCAAATCGTTTTGTTTCTATTAATATGATTTCAATTTCTCGACGACTAATAACTACTTTAACCCTATTTATAATTTTACTTTTACTCATCATTACTGTATGCCGAATTCCATTGAAGCATAATTCAAGAAAATTTTTAATTACGGTAGTCGACTATCGTCGGAATCCGATATCAAATATGTCGGTTCGAATCACTGCAGCTGAATATCATGATCAAGAATCTTACACAAATAAGCTAGGACAAGCGATGTTTTATCTGGAAAATGATCTTAGCAATATGGATTATTTGTATTTAACAGTCGATGATATAAACGAAAAATTTTTACTCGTCAATGAACAATTAACAATAAGACTCAAGAATATTAATCAAGATACCGGGGAACCATATGACGAGGAAATGTTTAAATTTAATTAAATTTAAACAGAGGAAAAAGCTCTGATTTGTATTTCAGCACATACATTATTCTTTATCACAGTTGTAGTTATTTTTTGTGAACATACACAGTGACAAATACAATATGCTATGTTGATCGGGTAATTACTGACGATCTTCTCAATTATACGCGAATAATTAATGAATAAAGTTGTTCATTAAAACGAGCAAATAATTTAAATCTGCGTAAACAGAATATAATAATTAAAAATGTTTGTTCGTTATACCCTCAAATTTACTAAATAAAAGAGACGACGCATATGAATTTGATAAGATGATATTATACACCACGTCTGTTAAAAAAACACCACGGAGTAAATCTGAAGGTATTATGCTAAGTTCTGTAGAATAATTACCATTAGGTCAAGTTAAAAGTACTCGAGATGATACTTGAATACTGCATAGTAGACTTAAGAAAACTTTCTTTGTAATAGATTAAGTGACAGCCAAAGAGAATGTTGTATGTTTGCGTGATATTTGATTACATCTCAAATAGTAATCTAATAACCAAGTTATAATAAGACCTGTTTGGTTATGATATGTAGTGACTTAGTTTAGCTCTATCGCAAGAATAATATAGTAGCGATGTATCAGTATCAATTATTTTCAATAGTGATACTAATTAGCATTAAATCTCAATACCATATTACTATTGTGCCACGTCTAACAGTAACCGTCACACATTAGAACACAACAAGTCTCATGAAAACTCTACTATTACATTCTTATGTATAAGTCGTAGTCATTTATCTTTCTGGCAATTTCGTATTCTTATGAAATCTAGTCACTCTAGATTTACTTGAATTCAGATATCGAATGCATTTCGTTCTCATTAACCTATAACAGTAAAACAGCTAGTTTTGTTTTGATGCAATTCTTAATTACGTCTGGTTCATTTTTAGTGTGTGAAGATTTCCTAACTGCATTTGAATTGTTATAATATTGAAATATATACTCTGATTTTAGATTCGAAGGAAATGAAAAGTCAGTAACATTCATCAGATTGTGATTATTCAAAGAAATCAAATGCAGTTGAAGAATTTTCACATCGTACAAATGAGACAGATATAATTAATTATGCGATTGATAACATCGACTGTATTACAATGATAGGTTACCGGTAGCACAATAAATTTGATGTGTAAATCGACTAAATAGAGAGCGATTGGTGCTCATAATAAAAAAAGAAAATTCCTGAGTTAACACATCAGTCGACATGAATACAATAGTATACTAACGAGGGAATATTCTCAAGTGATTCGCACCATTTCGGTTCATCTTTTGCTGGCTTGTAGGGTCGGTCATAGTATATGAAATACCTGAAAGGGTTCGTGCCATTGCGGGTCGGTTTCAAAGTTATGAGCGGAAAATGTGTTACAATAGACGATGCCACCTTCTATGTGCTATTTTTTTCTTCTTTTCATATCTCAACCAGAAGATGATTTTCCCCATAGATATTTCTAATACGGATATTCCTCAACTTTTTCGAACGAAAAAAGTTTCGAGAAGTATGTTTGAGCTACCTGGTCGAAAGAACGAAACATTAATGAATAGATAGTATGTCATATATATGATGAGCCCTACAAACCAGCAAAAGATGAATCGAAACGGTGCGAATCACTTGGGAACGTTCCCTCGTAAGAGAAGGAGAACGTGGAAGAATTCTGCTCACTGGCGTATTATATTAATATGGCCGATACTAAAATATCAAAAAAAATGAGGGCCTTATTTTTACTATAACTACATATTAAAAAAAACGTTTCTTGCAGCTAACTATACAACATTGAAGCGTTCCCATCACTGATTTTGAACTGCTATAAATAAAAATAATGGAACTAGTATAAGAGAATATATTTACAGAAGTCAATGGTGTTATTTTATGAACTATTTTCCATATAAATAATTAGAATATGGATACTTATAAGTTTAGAAGTCTAAAGTAAATCATAAAAAAAGGCATAAATCACGCATCACTGATGAATAATAATGATACTTAATTGAAACCGAATATGTGTACATAATGAATTATCAAACAAATAGTCAGCTTAACTAGATCAGCCCTATGAAACAATAAAATCTTCTCAGTTTTCTACAGAGTAGATAAAACTCATTTTGATTATTGTAGAATTAATTCCTCTAGTCACGTTCGTACAACATGAAAAGACAGACCTTCGTGCAAAGTATATTCTGAATGCTTATTTTTTTTTTAATTAGTCTTTCATAGTGAAGATGATATTGCTTTTGGCCAAACAACAGCATTAAAAAACACTCATCGAAGGATTTCTTCTCTTGCGCATCTATTAGCGCCTACTGCATTCTTTTTGTTCTCAAATTATTAATAAAAGAATTGTCATACCAGGATATGATATTGGCGTTATTTTAAACATTGAATAGTAGAAAAAATCATTGCCCTAAAGATTTAATTAATATTCTTGTGCAAAAAGTAATATAAGTAGAAATAATGCTTAAGAATAAGATTTTGTTACACAATAACAGTACTATAGACAAGTACAATGCATAGAAATTTCTTATATATATATATATATATGTCGTAGGATAGATTAAAATCCAGTACAGTTTTAAATCGAGCTAGGACAGATTAAAATTTTAATTTTTCCTAGTTCAGATTAAAATTTTAATGTGAACTAGTTGACTTCGAAATGCATTTTAATCTCAACTAGTTGACTTTAAAATTTTGATCTGAACTAGGACACATTAAAATGTTTAGTCAAATTATCCGTGGCTGGCTGGTTGAAGATACGCGTTGGGGTGACGACAAGGGTCTATGGTGAATGATGATGAGTGAAGATGGAACTATTACCCGCGTCCTCGCGCTCGCCTTCACTTTCACCTATTATCCATCCAAATGTGTATATTTCAATCTGAACTAGTTCAAATCAAAATATTTTAATCTGTCCTGGTTCAGATCAAAATATTTGAAACTGTTCTAGTTCAGTTTAAAATATTTTGATTTTTCCTAGTTCAGATCAAAATTTTAAAGTCAACTAGTTGAGATTAAAATGCATTTCGAAGTCAACTAGTTCACTTTAAAATTTTAATCTGAACTAGGAAAAATTAAAATTTTAATCTGTCCTAGTTCGATTTAAAACTGTACTGGATTTTAATCTATCCTACGACATATATATATGTCACAGTTGACATGAGAATTTCAGTTGAGATTGGAATGCGCGAAAAAAATAGGAAATAAATTGAATTGAATGAATGAAAGAAATTAGAGTCGAATGATTACCTTGTGCTTTATGTATAATAATAAAAACAGAAGAAAAAATATTCGTTTTATTTAAATTCTACTGATGTGAGTCATAATATAATTAATCTCATCTGAATTAATCATCAGATGGTATTGCAAGGATGATTACTATATTTTCATATTTCATTTATAAAATTTATATAAATTTAAAAAATTTATATTGGAAAATTTTTAATAATATTTGTTTTACTACAATAATAATAGAACACGAAAACAAAGAACTGTATTCATCTTAACGTGTTTATTACTATGAAAACTACCTCAACAAACATAGTCTATGTCGGATATTTTAATTATCTTGTTTATTGTGTTTTTTCTGTGTATTAAAAATCGATGAAATGGATATTTTCTATCAAAAGCTTAACTCATATATTGATAAACTGGAAATTAAAAAAAAGAAACAAGTATAGTATTAAAAATGTCATGTACTTAAATATTATGAATGTTCTTAAAACAGAAAATTCAAATATGTCACCGAAATTCAAGTTCTAGGTTCGCCGAACTTTTCGCGTAATGGACATAAGGATCATCGGATATAATCTATAATATAAAAATTAATACGCCATGAATAACACATGGAAAAATTTATGAAAAAATGAATGTCATATAGCTGTTGGTCATTCTGGAAGACATAACACATGGGCTGAGGATGTGGGCGTGGGTGTGTGCACACACTCACACCCTCAAATAAAAAACTTGTCAGCGCAGCCCCGTTGGGGCTAAAATGTGGAACTCACAGTTCGATCAGTTAGATGCTGATCAAATAGAAGTTTTATTTTTTCAGAATAGTGAGATCATATTTTGTTCAAA